CAGCCCAGCTTGCCTCTAGCTTCTCTGCATTTGGCCATATTTCTCCTTGGAGAAGTCTCCTTCGTCTCTGTCACGTGGCAGCAGGAGCCTTCGTGTCTAGGACTGTTTTCTGGGTGCAGTGGGCCCACAGGACACATGCGACCTGAGGGACGCCGTCCCCTCTGCCTCCCCAGTGGCTCTCACAGCATGCACTGCCTGCCCCCTCAGCCCAAAGAGGGTGCAGCTTCCACATCATGCTCCCCAATTTAGCCTACTGCCTCCCCCCGTTGGTAGGAAGCAGACCCCATTTGTAGGGAGAGGCTGGTGGGACACACAGCCCCCTGTCCTGGACACAGCCAGCCAGGAGCAGGGAACAACCAGGGCTGCAGGCTCTATGGTATCAAGGTGCTGAGCCCTCCCTGCCCCGGTCCACAGAGGAAGCAGTTGGCTTGAATGGAGAATTCCATGAGCTGCCAGGAAATCAAAACCCACTCTTTAGGGCTGTGTCAGTCTTGGGCAAGGAAGGGACCCCTCCTATGGGAGCAGAGTGGGGAGGAGGACCCGCCTCGGGCCGCTCGCATCTCCCGGTGTCATCGGGTATCACCCAGCCCTCGTGTTTCTTTTCTCTTTCATCGTTTATCCACAAGCTTCCCTTTTACCTTCTTGTAGACCAGAGAATTAACAGTAGTGACAGTTGGCAGCCGTCCCTGTCTCTGGGACATTGGAAGGGTGCGGGGCCACCTTTCCTCTGGGACTGGGTTTTCACATTGATGAGCAGCCTCACATCGGCCAACAGAGAACTGCAAGGCCCGGAGACGGTCTGTCTCCACTTGGGGCTGAGCACCCGAAGCAGCGGATGCCAGCGTGGATGGTTATAAATGGCAGCCCAGCACTCCTCGGCACACACTTGTGAGCTGGGTTCTAATACACACTGATCTGAATATCAAATACGTATTTGTGTCCTGCATTGCTCCTGTGTCAGGGGCCCCACCACGTGTTCAGAGGTTTCTTGGGACTCCTGGGACCCAGGAGGAGCCACACTGGCCTGCATCTGTCGTTGTGAGGCAGGGAGAGGACACGCAGCGAGCGGCTCGGGGACAGACAGCTCAGGCTCTGCAACTCGGGGCTGCTCCTCTGCAGCTCTGGGAGGGCACAGGAAGCCTGTCCAGCCTCAGGGTTCCTGGGTTTTGTTGGGGGCCAACTGCATGGCACCATCCACTCATTCTATAGCAGAGTTCCAACCCTGTAAGGGCAGCTGCCACTCGGCTCCTGCCACATGTTTGCAGGCTTGGGAGCAGTGACTCAGTCCTGGTAGTTGGGGATGGTGTCAGTTCCCAGGTGCCATCGGGAGCCAGCGTGCCTGTGGCTTTTGTAGAGAGCACACCCCAAACAGCCCCGGCACCCAACATCCCTCCACATAAAGAAGCATCCAGCTACCATTGCTTCTCGGCTACCTGGAAAAGGCTTTACCGGGCATCACCAGCACAAGTGTCCCACACTGCAGTCACCAGCAGCAGAGTGAGGACCGGGGATCTTGCACACCGGATATGCACGGATGAGCTAGAACCACGTTCAGTGCACAGTCAGAGCAGGAAGGAGGGCAGAAGGAGGGCATGGTAGCTCACAGCATTTGGTTGGCTGGTTTTCTGGTCCTAGGGACTGAACCAGGGTCTTCACATTGAGCTATGTCCCCAGCCTTTTATTTACTTTTTATTTTGGGATGAGGTCTTGCTCAAGCTTGCAGTCCTCCTGCCTCAGCCTCCCAGAGTGCTGGGACTATGGGTGTGCACCACCATACCTAGCTGATGATCAGCCTTTGGGTAGAACATCTGGGAAGTGGTTTTGTGCCCGCCCTTGTAGGACATTAACCCATCCACACTGTCCTTTGCACTGCCCTTCCCCGGCCCTTTGGTGTCCTCAGAGGTGTCGGGCACATCCTGTCTGCAACCCCTCCTCGGAGGGAGTCCTTCGGGTGTCAGAGGACTGTGGGGCCCACTGAAGGGCCCTGCACAGTGGCCCCTTTGCTCTTCCCCGTACCTTCCTACCCCACACTCCTCCGCACTGGCTTCCAGCCCCTCCCGGGTAAGCTGCTGCTGGTTATCGCTTCCGAAGGTGAATCTGGAGGCCAGCCGGTGCCAAACCCTCCTGCCACTTCCAGCCACACCTCTGCGCAGTGTCTGGGATGCGACAGCCGGGATGGACAGGGCGACCAGCAAAGTAAAGGACCACAGAGAGTGGTAGAAGCACAGAATCCTGGCAGCCTTTCGCCCTGGAGAGGACCCTGCAAGGAACAGCTCTGAATCCTGAATTCTCCTGCTCAAAAAACACATAGGTTTCTGTTGGTCAGTATGATAATACAAGGCCCTCAGTGTGCTTCCCTCTGAAGTGTGTGGCCACGGGGCCATTTGCTTTAGCCTGAGAAGTCTAACACTCTCTAAAGTACCTGGCTTCCCTCCTTAAAGTACCTGGCTTTCACTTTTATATGTCGGGAAGCTTTTTAGGATTTTCTTTATTGCCGAGACGTGAAGCGTCATCTGGAAGTGAAATTATCTTTCTTTCCCACCATTGTTAGCATGCAGCTTTTGCTTTCTGAAAATGAGTCCTTTCGATGCTGGAGGTCCTCTTCCCATGATTTCTCTGCATTTTCTGTGGATGGAAGTTTCCTATTTATTGAGCTGTCTGTTACAGTTCCCATGTCTTTGTTGGTTGGTTCTGCATGCTGCGAGATTCGGGCGGCATCACTGTGCAGATCCCTAATTCTAAATTTTGCCACGAAGGATTACAATTGAGCCACTGCTCGGTTTTGACTCAGCTTTTTAAATGTTAATTTCGATTTTTAATCACCTTTTCCTTCACAAGAACTCTTCTACTTTCCCTGACTCTCTCTTTCTCTCTCTCTCTCTCTCTGTTTCTGATTTATAGCTGCATAGCCTCTCTAATCTCTCTGAAATTGCTAAATCGTTACAAGCTTTCTTCTCCCCGTTATCTGTTTCCGGCAGACCGCACATCAGTACGTTTCCTTTATACAGATGTTGGTTTCTCCAGTGGCCGCTGATCCTTGAGGATTGATTTACATTCGCTCCTGGATTGAATGGATTCATTAAGGATGTGCCATCCCTGCCTGTGTATATGTTTTCCCCAAGGATTCCTTCTGGAATGGGAGGGCGGGGTTGGTGTGGATGGAGGTTAGCTAGCCACACACTAACACCCACAGGGACGGTCTCGGAGTATTTGCACGGCCGGAGCAATGCTGCAGACTCGGCAGGCAGTGTGTAAGAGCACACTTATTTCCCACAGCTCTGGAGGCCAGGACGTACAGTACGGCGAGGCTGGGCCAGTGTCTCCTGAGAGCTTCTGAGCTGCTCCGCCCCATCTTATTTTGGGATTTCTGGGGATTCCTGTGGGGGAAATGCTCCAACCCAGGCTTTTGGAGGGCCCCCCTTCCAGCCACAGCCAGAACCACACCTTCCACACCAAGAGGTGGAGCCAGGGGCTTCCCCTCGGCCTCCTGCCCCAAGGCTGATGTTTTCCTTGTGTTTATTTATTCCTCATCTGTGGCTTTTCCAGAGGCGTGCACAATCCCCGGCCTGGACAGCTACCTGGAATCTTGCCCAAGGTCTTGGCAAGAAGGTGCCTCCTGGGCCCTCCCGGTCAGGCGCAGCTCCTGCCAGCTGCCCCAGGTCTGCCTGGTCCCTGGGGAGGTGCCACTGAGTGACTGAATGATGGGCCACACCGACAGGGCCTCCTCCTCAGAGATACAGGCAGCTGTGTTGTCCTGTGCCTCTCCCTCCTGGACAGCAGTGTCCCCCTGTGCTGTCCTTAGGCCGCGGGTGCTGCAGACACTTTCCCGGGCTCCTAGAGATCTCAGATCTCTTGCAGGACAAGTGTCGATTCCCGTACCACAGCGGACCCATGCCTATGCTGTCGTGCTGCGGCATGGTAGGCAGTGTGGCCGTGCTCTGTCCCCAGCCCACTCCGGTTTGCTCCTGCTTCCTCTCAAGGGTTGTTTCCACTTAAAAATAGATGTACATGTTCTTATTAACACAATATGTAAACTTTGGAGGAAAGTTTGAAAACACAGAGAAACAAGATTTAAAAAATAGGTCTCATGACACAGTTTATGATTTCAGTAATATCCAGTGTGTTTCATTGCTCAAAAAATGGCTTCAAGCATGGCATATACTCTTTGCTTCTAGCTTTGGGAACTGTGTTTATGACAAGTGCTGCTAAGTCTTAGAGCTCACACACAGCCCACAGCTCCAGACGTGCTCCTGCGTGATGGAAGTCAGTGCTTTTCCAGACGTCAGTGAATGGGAAGGAATATTCTGTTTGGTCCTAGTTATTCATGAAGTAACCAATCTAATGTGTTTCCAATTTCCTAACTGGAAAAGTAACCGTTCCTGCTGTGAATATATAAACGCTTGCAAAATACTTTCGTAAAGGAGGTCTGGTTTTAAAATGGCATGGTTTCCAGAGGAAGTCACGTCATTGGACAGTTACAGGTGCATGTGTCTTTTAAAAAGTGGCCCAATGTAGGAAGGCAAGGGTTGTATGCCTGCCCAGCATGGATTTACCAGCCTGTCTGTCTTTCCATTCTGTTCCTTTTCACACACGAGCCAGCACTTAACAGGTACAGGGCTCCCCAACATCTCAGGCACTATGTGCAGGTTCCCAGGACACATACTGACCAGCAGATTCCACTCACTTCAACAGGAAAACACTCCACCAATATCTCAGACCTCACCCGCAGGGTCACACCAAGTCTTTCCAGTTAGACACAGCATCTTGCAGAAAAAACCATCACATTAGTAAGTTAGGGAAGAAAACGAAAGTTAGCCAGGTTAGCAGCAGTGTCTGCCTGTGAGGCTGTATCAAGGCACTAGGAGGGCCTGGAAAGCGCTCATGCCAGGGACAGGCGGCCGTGAGCCCTGAGTGCAAACTCCACGTGCTGCGTAATGGAGCACACGCTCAGGTGCACAAAGGTGTCCCTGCACTAAAGTGGCTTTTCCCTCTTTCATTAGCTGGACGCTTCTTGTGACAATCACACCGCACAGCTCGATGACACCCAGGAAGAAAAACAGCTACCGGAAGTCATCAAAACGAGCAACCCGGTGGTAAGTGATGGAAGAACTGAGGGTGGGGAAGGAAGAAGCCCTTTGTGCAGAGACAGAGTGGACAACTGGGAAATGAGCAGTGCAGTTAGGGACCCAGGGAGCTGACTGCCTTTATTTGATCCATTTTTTTTTTTTTTTGTCTTTTTCATTTTTATCGGTACCGGGGATCGAACTCACGAGTGCCTGCTTGCAAGGCAGGTGCTTATGCTGTTGAGCTAAATCCCCAGCCCCATGATCCTTCTTTTTTTTTTTTTTTTTTTTTTTTTTTTTTTTTTGAGCATAGCATTTATTAAGAGAAAGAAAGCTTTTGTCTGAGAGAGAACAGAGGGCGTCCTGAGTGGGGTGCCAAAGGCTCTGTCTTTTCTAGGGATTTTTATAGAGTAAAACCACAAAGCAAGATGGGTCTGAGGTGGGGAAAAATGGGAACTCGCAAAGCAGGTGGGCATGAGGTGGGACAGAGCTATGGTCAACCACTAAGATTAATTGCTCAAGTAAAATTGATTGAATCGGGGACAAATTGGGAAAGGTAGCAGGTGGGCATGTTTATGGAGCAGTGACCCTTCCTGTAGTGGGGACAGTGACTCCTGGTTTCTTCAGGGTGATAGAGACCTATTTAAAATATCAGTGTATTCTTGATCTTCTGTCTTGAGGTCTGGCCCATATCAGGAGGTGTCTGTCTCCTCCAAGATTGCAAGCTATCTGGGATATTCAGCTGTAAATGAGGCTAACAAGTTAATCTACAAATAACTGCATATTCTAGTCTATAAAAATACTCTTAGGAACTGAATGATTATGTTACCCTTTTAGCAGATGCAGTGTCTTTACCTTTATTTATTTATTTATTTTTACAAATTCTCTTAGGAGTGTTAGCTCTATGATGTCACAAGCCTGCTGCTCCAGCAGGCATCCTTGGATGTTCTGCTTGCCCATGCAGGGGACATCAGCCACTCTCTGTGACGGGGCTTCACCTCGGCTTCCAATCCCACATTTCCACACAGCCCTGCTCACCAGAAGCTGGGCCAGGCAGGCTGAGGACAACTTCCAGCCTCCAGCGAGGCACAGCGGGGAAGGGCTGCTCTAGTGGCCACAGTTAACCCAGCTCCTCCTGCGGCTTATCCCTCCTCGTGGCCCTGTCCTTAGCTATATTTTCTCTCCTTCCATAGAGTGTAGGTCATGTATTCTTCCACCGTCACATTTCCCTTCCTAACTTCCTCCCAGACAGAAAAAAGACCCCGGCAAATTCCAGCAGGTCCTCTCCTCCCTGCTGGGGTCACGCAGGGAGGGGCGGTCATGGATGGAACCAGCTGTTTCGTTTTCCTGGAGGAGGCGGTGGTAGAAGTCATACTCGGGATCTTCTACATTTGCTTTCATCCTTGGAGGGACTTGGGTGGATTTTAGAAAAGAACCCACATTATTCCCAGAGCCTCCCTGACCGCGGCTTGCCTGCAGGCTGCTTCTCATTCTATGCACATTTTCCTGCATCTTGCTGATACGTCCAGGCTTGAGGAGAAAAGGCCTCGGGTGACCCTTTACCTCCCCCTTTTCCCTCTTGTTGACAGAAATAATATCAAAGCTCCTCCTTTGGATACTAAACATTCCATAGACACTTAGGAAAACAAATCCTCTCTCTCTCTCTCTCTCTCTCTCTCTCTCTCTCTCTCTCTTCAGGAATACACCACAAGTTTTCCACTGTCAGGATCATGTTAGGTCTTCTCTTGCCTTTTACAGTGGGGGAAAGATTTGAACACTTTTCCAAAGAAGATGTGTGGATGTGTGGATACAATCCAAAGATTGTATAAATGAGCCAGTAGTAATGAATGACTGCAGAAATAAAGCAAAGTCCTGTGGGGCATCCCCAGCACCCCCTGTGCAGTATCTAGTAGGATGCTTGGGCTAAGCTAGCAGAACCAGGGACCAGGGCAGCTGGCACTGCAGCACCCTGGGAATGCTGGCACCAGTTGGTCCACTTTGAAAGATAGTGGACAGCCCGTTCAATTGTTAAGCAGACATGCACTGTCCCTCGGGTCCAGCATCCCACCAGTGGGAAACACACAGCCCTGCGGAGGCCATCTCCAGGGGTCTATAGCAGCGTGACTTCTAACAGCCCCAAACTGAAAGCCACCCAGATGTCCTCATGCAGATAGCTGAACAACAGGTAGGGTGTCCACACTGTGGAGCCGTCCTGGGCCCTGGTGAGGGCTCAGAGTAATTGTGCCGTGGGGAAGAAGCCAGACCAAACATTTTGATTTGTGTGAAATGACGGAAGAAGTGCACAAATTCAGGACAACAGGCTGGTGATCCTTTGGGGCTCCGGGATGGCTGAGGAGGGGAGGGAAGGACACACTCCAAAGGGCCAGGAGGACATTTTAGGAGATTAGGGGATTGCTTTTTCCTTATGGTGGCTATTATTTACCAGTGTTCCGTAGTTTCTGTGTGCTTTGTGGGCTCAAAATATTGTGGCTCACATGCAGTTAATTGCATGTGGGCTGTATCACAATAAACATGTTCAAAAGAAGCCCATGTGAAGGTTTGCAATGCCATTAATAGCCAGCGTTTTTACTTTGCAGGAAGAGAACGGCTGCTCGCATTTGCCGTGCAGCTGAGCCAGGCCCTGGCAGCCCCGTCTGCAGCCCCGGGGTCCCAGCCTACCATCGCTTTTTATTTAGATAAATGAAGACGTTGTCCTTATGTTCAGTCAATATAAATGAAATATTCAGCGGCAATGTTAGCTTATGGAAAAGGCCAAGTAATCAATCTAGTTGATTTCCAGTGTCTCCAGTGAAAATCAGAGAGCGGTGTTTGCTATTGATTCATAACTCACTGCAAAATGCCATCTGTTAAAAATGCTCACATCTGTGTTTGCTTCCCTGTGAAAGAGAATGGGGACCTTGATTTAAACAAGTAGGAGTTTGTTTTAATCACAAGAATAAGAAACTGCTGATGGGTGCGCCGAAGCCGGTAGGATCTCACAGCGAGCAAGCTTCCCCGGCCCAGCGCGGTGACCTTCCCTCCCTGGCACTTCCTGTGCACATCCCCCTGCTGGCCTTCCGGGAGCCTTGCCGGAGGGCACTTTCTAACACAGAGCCCCACTTTTCCTGCAAAATCTGCACAGTGCAGTTTCTCTTGTTTTCACAGACAGGCTGTGACCCCTTGGTGTAGAGCATCACTGTGTCTTTCTTTTTTTCTGTTAGTTGCCTTTGTGAAAAATCTTCTCAGGGATTTTTGTTTACCTTTTGCAAGAGTTTTTGAACTTTGAGTTTGGATCTGGAATTCTGACTTGCCCAGGGATCTGCCCACATTTCCTCCATACTTGCCAGCGAGCAGGGTTTTTCTATTTGAGAACTTTTCCTCAACTTCTGTGCATTTTCTTCCAGTAGGTCTTGAATTACTTTTTCTTCTCATTTCCTGTGTTCCTTCTACAACACACATTGCTGCTTTGCTTTAACTGGTGTCTACTGTTTCCTGATTTTTCTCTCACATGGTCTATTTGTGTCTTAGGTTTCTTCAATGTTATGTTCCATATCAGTTATTTTTGCCTCCCTCATGACTGTATTATCATTTAGCTTGTCTCACATTTTTTGTCAATTTCAGCAAATACAATCTCTTTTACCAAGAGCAACTTCTTCGGTCACAGTTATCTGTTGTTGTAACACTCTGTTCTGATTCAAAGCAGAACTAGGTCTTTCAGAAAGCAAATTATTTTACATTGAAGCAAAATGTTAAGTCATAAACTCATGTACTTTAGGTGTGCAATTCAATTAGTTTTAACAAAGTGTTCAATTAAGTAAACAGAGTCCACCAAAACAGAGCAAATCCACAAGCCAGAGGTTTGCCTTCGGCCTTGTCCACACACACACACGCAGGCTCCCCGCTCTCAGCGCCCACAGCCTTGCTGTGATTTCTAACACTTAGGTGGCCTTGAGCTCTCATGAAAGTGGACTTAGGAATAGAAGGTGCCCTTTCATGTCTTTCTTTCAGTCACAATCATAACTTCAGGATTCCCCGTCGCATGTCACCCTTTAACATCCAGCAGTGTCCCGGGGTATACATGCACCCTTGTTGGTGCATCGGTTCACCAGATGATGGGCGTTTGGGTGCTTCCAGATTGGGGCCGCCGTATGCACAAGGCCTTCACTAATGTTCGTGGGGTATAAGTGATATGTATTCTCACTTCACTTCTTAAATCCTTTACTTTTTAATTAAAGCATAAGATAATTTCTTAATCAGGTAACAGGTAACCATATTATCAGACTGTGTGTCATTATCTTCAGAGTAGTAACTCAGAAGACAAGGCATAAGCCAAAAAGAGTCTTAGAAAGCAGGAACAGACATTGACACTAATCTTTCTTTGCAATGAACTAAAGTAAGCAAGTAGTATAATGAAGCTAATTAGCATATATATTGGAATATTTTTAAAACAATGGAATGTGGAAAAGTATTTGAGATTCTCCCTATTTCCAATTTATCTGTCTTCTCTTTTGTCCTTTAATTATGCTTCTCATAAGAGAAACCAGCTGATATTTGAGTGTGTGTGCTAACCTATTTCACTGTACTGTGTTCTCAAATTGCATCCACTGACCTCCAAATGCTTCAGGTTTTTCTTTTCCTCTGCAGTGCAGCTCTCCACTGCGTGTAAATACGACCTTTTCCTTACTCACTCATCTGGTGAGGGAAATGTACAGTGTTTCTAGGACTTGGCTGTTACGAATTGTACTGTTGCAAACATCCAGAAGATTCAGATAATTAGCAAACAGCCACACACAACCTGCCAGCCATGCCTCTTCAACTCAGAAAGGAAGGATGATGTCACAGGTGAATCCAAAATAACAGAATTCTGTGTCTTCAAAACCTGGGGCATAAAGAAGAGCTGCAAAAATAGATTTTTATATGCATCCTGTGCAGAGGACATGAAACCTCAGTCTTCCAGGGTGTGCTCATGTGGAGAAATAACAGACACCGTGTAAATATTTGAGGCCATAAATATTTGATGTTTTGTAGTAATTTTCTACTTGCAAATATTCTGTGTGGAGAGCACACTAGCTTTTGGCATGTATGGCAATTGGAGATGCCAGGTGACCTGCCCATCTCCATCGTGAGCACTACCCGGTCCCTCCAGGTGGCAGCAGGTGGGAGGGAGAGCTCTGACCAAGAGAGTGGTCCTCCGAGTTGTTCCCCCAGACCCCAACCCCTCCCTTCATCAGCACCCAGCCACCGGAGAGGGTGACAGCCCCCCAAGACTCCTCCCAAGGAAAGGTTTACAGGAACCCACAGGCTCTGCACCTGGGGGGAGGAGTGGGGGGGTCTCAGCTGCCCAGCCCCCAGAGCACCCTGCACACCTGCACTTCACGGCTTTAACTGATTCACCTAGGAAATTATGGTGTGTTTTCTCTGCAGTTGAGTAGATGCATTTTGTTTCCCAAATTGTTGGTTTTGTGTCCCACATGTGAGCCACCTGCTCTTCATTTTATGGCGTGCGCAGCAGCACTGGTGCTGTCTCCTGCCCACCTTGGGAAATGTTTGCCATTTTATTGGGATTGAAGTTTTCCTAGAACTGTATTTCAGGACAGTCTATCTACTCACTGGAGGTTTCAGTATTGTAAATATTTCTTAATTGTTCTCTTGTGTCCCTTTCTTATCTTTGTTCATTCTTTATAGTTCAGTCTTCTCCTAGAAGTTATCTTAGGTAAAGGTTTATATCTTACCAAACCAGTTCCACTTGCTTCACACCTAGAAATGTCTGCCAGTTGTCAGCTATGGAATTCTTTGCTGGCTTCCAATGCTTTTAAAAATGTGTGCTTTGGGGGAGGGAACATGTTTTGCTGCCATTTGTAATGATTTGGGCAGAGGGGGAAGTAGATGATGGCTGGCTATCTTGAGTTAAATTTCTTGTGCAAGTTTTTTGGTTATCTTTGTTCTTGGACAAAAAGATTTTTGTTCATCTCGTAAAGGACTTCACACCATCTGTAGAAAATGGAGAAAATACAGCTGGGCAAAATGAAGGATGATAATTAATTTTTCAATGATAAATTGTCAAATGTCTCCATATATATTTAATCATGCAATAAATCTCCTTTAATAACGAAAAAGGTATTCATACCTTAATTTCAGTACAGTCATTATACATGACAACAAAAAAGGAAAAGAGAAATTCTCTTCAAAAGTCCCTTTCTAAAACCTGTTCTGTGAGTGGAAAAAGAAAACAACTTGGTACCAGGGCTGCTTGTGCACACACCCACACACACACACACCCGGCTCATAGGTCTTGCCATACGATGACCAAACAGTGTGATAAGACCACTTAGGTCTGCACCTGGCTGCATGTAATCAAAAAATAGGGGCTGTTTCCTCTGCCAGAGTCGCATAGCGCAGGGGCCTGGGCCTGTGGGGATGGACACAGCCAGGGTTGGTGTGAGGTCTCTGCCACCCTCTGCCCTTCCGACACCTCTGGCGGAAGAGTCACCTGGCGGCTGCAGGCTGCCACCCAGGGTCCTTTCTGTGCCTCTGCCCACACTCTCTAGGCTGGAAAAGCTTCTCAGTAAGATGACATTTCAACCCTGCAAACCACACTGGTCCCAGCTGCCGACAGGCCTGGAAAGCAAGGGTTTCAACACCTGGAACTAAACCGAGGTGGTGTTGAGGTGGGTGGAGTTCGTGGCGGGTCAGGGCAAGGCCAGCCACGCGTGGCAGTGTGCTCCATCTCCAGTTGCCAGAAATAGGGGGTGCACACAAACGCACTGGGGAGACCTCAGACAGGAACACACTCTTGTTTCCCCATGCAGCTGGAGGAGGCATCTCTCGACAGCTCTGCCCTGTGCAACGGGTCCCAGGAGGAGGAAAGGGGCCTCACAGAGCCCGGGCGCAGCTCTGTGGTAAGTCGCTGCGTGGGGCACGGGTGCACATGCAACTGCAGTCTGCAGTTGTCAAGGAACAACTGCTAATCGGGTGAGCAAGTAGCCTCTTAAACAAAAAAAGGCAAAGCATGAGCTGGGGTTGCACGGGAACCAGGGCGCCAGACCCCACAGTCCCCAGGGATTAGGAAGGCAGAGACTCTAGACTGGGGACTCAGGGTTTTCTTTGTCTAAATCTCTTTTTCTTCCCCTCTGGTCGCCCCAGAGAGTCCCTGCCTGCCAGTGCCTCTGAGCTGTGCTCTTGGGCAGGGCACATGAGGGACCTCGCCCGGAGACAGCATAGGGAGCTCCTCTCTGCTGGCATTGAGGGCCATAGACTTCTAGACAGAGGTGGCACTTGGGCACTGCTGGGACAGCAGTTTCTCTATCCTTTCCTGTCCTGTGACACAGGTCATCTGACTCTCACGTGCCTGGCCCACCCCCAGGAGCCCTGTTATTTGGGGGAGCAGCACTGTGAGCCCTATAAAGCCAGCTTTCTCGTGGTGCTTCTGGACTTGGGCTCTGAGTTGCTGGTTGCGTGAGCAGTATATAAAATGAGTATGATAACACGGAGGACACCCAGGGAGCAACTTCTTAGCAGCACCACATAGATGGGCGGTGGGAACCCCCGTGTCTGACTCCTGGCTCCAAACAGCGTGTGCTTTCCCCAGTAGACCACACATGGGGAGAAAATGAGCAAGTGCCTCTCCACTTAGACCTCATCTCAAACCTGTACTCATTAATGAAAACAAGTCACTCGCAGACTCTCAGGTAGTCATTGGAAACACCAGTTCCTGCGTGAGTTGGGTGTGGTGGCCACACACAGTTGTAATCCCAGCACTAGGGAGGCTGAGACAGTTGAATCAACCATGAGTTTGAGAACCGCCTGGGCTAGCAGTGAGCTGAGGAGCAGCCTGAACTGCATAGCGAGACCCTGGCTGCCTTCGCCCCATCAAAGGAGTTCCCTGGGCTGGGTTGCAAGCAGCTGTGCTGTGTTGCCCTGATGAAGGGCTTGTCTAGGATTATTTATTTTCTGCCGCAGCTGGTGGCACCCAGGCACCTGAGACCCATCCCCTTGCCTCGGCCTGAGTGCTGCCTGCCCATCTGCCTCCTCAGGGCCATCTCTGGGACCTGTGGGCTGTTAGCCAGCGCCTGGGCGTAGAATCTTTCTGCTGCTTCTTCCAGCCATGTGTGTAGAGGACTCTCAGCATCCTCTGTCACTGTCACTGAAGTGGCCTCAGCCTCTGCCCCTCCATCCAATTCTCACCTGAGCCACAGGCCTCTGACCGAAGTGTGAGTCTTGCCTGGAGGCTGCGGGGGTTTCCAGTCTGCAGTTCGCCTGCGAGTGCCTCGTGCTGCTGGACCACACCCCGCACCCTGTCCCCGTGGAACCGGCAGCTCAGGACCAGGCCCGGGGCTCCTGCGCGCCCTGCTCAGTGTTTAGGATCACACGGCGGGGCCACAAGGGAGCGGGTGGGCTGTGTGCCGGGTTCTGTGAGTCTTCTGGGGCAGCCCTGCGACCCGATTTTGTTGCCAGTCAGACAGCTGCTGTTCTGCTTTCACCATTACTCATTCCTCACTGCCCACTTTTCCACATCTTCCGCTCACTTCACCATCCATTTAGCAAATCCTGACTGAGAACAGACTGTTGGCACATAGCACTCTTGACCGTGAGGGTGTGGAGTGGCCCTGAGAGCCGTCCTGGGTGTGTGTGGAAGCTGTTGTTCTTTCCCTGGAAAAAGGCAGGCTAATAAGCATGTGCCAGGAGTAGACGGCCACCCTACTGGTGCTAGTCTCAGACTCCACTCGCTTTGGATTCTTTGATACGCAGAAATTTGTTGGGGGATGGAGGGGAGGAAGACCCAGGAATTGAACTCCCAACCTTGCACTTTTGCTAGGCAGGTGCTTATGCTGCTTAGCTTTATGCCTAAAACCTGCTTTTTTTTTTTTTTTTTTTTTTTTTTGGTCTTTTTGAGACAGGGTCTCACTATGCAGTCCAGACTGGCCTTGAGTTCACTTTAGCCCAGGCTGGTCTCGAACTCGCAACGTTCCTCTTGCTCAGCCTCGTGAGTGCTGGAATTATGGGTGTGCACCACCCGTGCCTGACTTTCAGAACTCTTTCTTTAGAGATGGTAAACATTTTGCTTCGTTGCCCCAGCAACCCACAGACGCTGGCTTGACCCCTGCTGTACTATTCCCAAAGTACTGTGGGCTCCTTTTACCATGGGTTAGCACCGCAGGCTCCTGGAGGTGCTGGGTTTCCGGGGAAGTGGTGTCCCAGATTGCAGGGCTCTTAGCTCTGACACCTATAAAGGTAACTCTCTCCTGCCAAGATGAATTCCCAAGGACACCTTAGTGTCATGGCAAGGACTTCCTGTGTCTGGATTTGGGGTGCTGTAGAGTAGATAATCTAACTTGATCTTTATTATAGCTTGACTTGCCCTGTGGTTGTTTTTCCACTTTTAACCTTTTTTTACTTGTTCGAATTCCCACTTCATGATGAGTAAAATCCCCACATGGGTAGGGCCTGTTCCTGGGGCTTGGAGTTTGAAAACAGCAGGGATTAGCTTTCTCTCATGGAAAGTGGCATCAGTTTCCCTTGTCCCCTAGGAAAGGGCTACAGCTGCCCCTTATGCAACATCTCACTTGGACTTTTCTCCTTATGTTTTGCCGTGACGCAGAATAATTGTTCTAAGTGTCTGCACTTTGCATTGCTCTCATCTGGAATGGAGTTTGCATTATGTCAAATGATCACCCAGCATCTACTAAAGTGAATGGATTCAACTGCAGATTCAAGCCCTGCAGATCAAAAATATTTTTTAACTTGTATCTGCACTGTGTACGCACAGACTTTTCTCTTTGCCCTTATTCCCTGCATGGTACAGTAGAATGAATAGCAGCTGACGTAGGGCTTACCTTGTATCCTAAGTCCTCTAGAGATGATGCAGAGTATTTTGAGGATGCAGGTAGTTTGTACGCAAATGAACGGCATTTTCTAGAAGGTCCTGAGTATTCAGACCTGTAGGGTCCAAGGAGTTCCAGGAGCCCCTTCCCCTGCAGATACTGGGGTGACCATGTGAACCCCAGCTTCTAATCGTCCTGCCTCAGGGCACAAGAGCCTACATGGGCAGCCTGGTTGGCCCTCTTTGTTTTCACCATGCGACTTTCCTGCTCCAGCAGGCGAGTGCTGCCTTGTTTACCCTGTTTCGTTTCGACCCCTGATGACTCTACGTCTCGGTGCCCCCACTTGGTTTGCAACCCTCCCATAATTTGAATGGACCTCTGGGTTCATTTAATTTGTACATATTTCTAATCTATGGTGACTCCATACTCCAGTTCCTCATGATCTTTTGTGCTGGTTTGTATCAAATATCTGAAATGTCAATGGGATTTCCAGCTCCAGCCAGAGTGCTCTTTCTTGGGTCCTGTGCCTTTGTCAGTCCTCTCTGTCGTCCTGGAGGTCCAGATCGAGTTCAAACACTTCATCTTTAGCAACCTTCTGGGCCGCCCTTCTCCGTCTACATCATTTCCCCATAGCACAGCATGTGTCACGGAACTCAGCTCTGAATACTAGGCTGTGAGCCTTTTAATAACATGCCATAAATGCGCTTCCCTTCTCCTCTTTGGAAGTAACTCAAGAGTAGGGATGAAAGCTCCAACTTCTGCCTCACAGTAATTTCTGTTTCACAGTGCTGCTCATCTGCAGAGGCAATGGACTGCAGGCCAGTGATGGCCGCCGAGCCGACACTCGCACTTCACAGCCTAAGAAATTCTCAGTCTGTAGGTTGTCGTATCCTGAACCTTGAGAGAAGTACTTGCTAAATCAGTTCAGCATCTCTGGATTCTCAGAAAAGTCCTCTCTTCCACAGTAAATGAAGCATGTCTTTGTGGGTGTTATGGTTTCTGTCTAGTTGTCCCACAAAGCCTCTGGCGGTCATAGTGCTTTTTCAGAGGTGGCTGAATCTACACTGTGTGTTTGATTCATAACACAATACTGGGATTATGAGTGCTGGGATTAAGGATAGGCTATGCAGGGTCAGTTCACTCACTGGATTGACATCACCCCTAACCCTGGGAGACTGGATACAATGTAAGACACAGAAAGAAGCTGTCTCTTTCTCTCTCTCTCACTCTCTCTCTCTCATGGCTTTTACCATTGTCTGCCTCCATGAACGGTTGCCCCTCTGCTATGTGCCACCCTGCCTTGGAGCCAGCTGATTATGGACTGAACTTCCACAAACTGTGAGCTAAATAAATCTTTCCTCCTTTAACTTTGGGCTTTGGGTATTTTGTCTCAGCAATGAAACAAAAGTAACTAAAACAGAAAACTTAAGGGAGCCACTGAAAAACGGTTCACATCTTTTGAAGAATTTTCATGCATGGGTGTGTCTATTACCATAACAAAATTTTTAGGTGAGAAGTGTAGAAGGAGAAAGGAGGATAGGATTATTCTGGCTCACAGTTTAGGAGGTCTGGGCCCTGGTGACTGGGTTGGCCATGTTGTTCTGGAGCCAGGGTATCACAGTGGAACGCAAGATAGGGCAGGCTGCTCACCTCAGGGCAATAGGAAACAAAGAAAATAGGAATCATTGGTGAGGGGTCCCAGTGCACCCTCCACGGACACAGCCCAACAAGATACATCTCCCTTGGGCCCCATGCTTAATCGTTCCACCAACTCCAGTAGCACCAAACTTCTAGTCTATGCCTGAGGGATCACACACAGGGTCTGGAGGTCATTTCAGATTGGGGCTATGACCTTGGGGAATCTTGATCCTCCAGCGTCAGCAGAGCTATGAAAAGTCCAGCTGAGCTGACCATGAGCAATGTGGCCCCAGCACTGTTTGTTTCTTCTTCCTCTCATTGCAGTATTTGCCTGTCCACGTATCATCACTGGCTATCTATTTATGCTGTTTAATCAGTTAAAGGAGCATCATCTCCTTTGAAGTAAAATAGGAATAAAGAGAACATGAGGCTCTAAATTTGAGACTCCCTTAATGCAATTTGTAGCACAGGGTAAAAGATATGTCATGAAGCAGGTGTTCAGTGATTGCTAAATCAATATGAGAATAAAAGAAACCACAGCAAGCACTAAAGGGGAAATGAACAGATTTAATATGTGAACAGCATATAAAAGATTCTTGATAGGATCATAGATTTCTTCATCACACCTATTCACAGACAAATCCCACATTAAAGTTGGTGGAATTTACCTGTAAAAATTTTGGTGTGATTTCTGTGTAAATTTTTTTTTAACTGGCATTCATCCAGAGTCACGCACAGAACTCTCCCCAGAAATGCTCGGCTGCTGATACAAGTGCAGAACGTTCAGTGCGTGGGCAGGATTCCATAGAGGAGACTTGAAAAATAATTAAGAGAGGGAACTAAATTAGGAAAGATTATTTTTGTTCATTGTTATCACTCAGCACTTTGTACTGAGGGACGATGGTAATGTTGATATAATTAAGACGATCTACATCAAGCTTAACAACTGATACACTTATCAGGTTATATATCAAGCAGTGTAATTTGTACAACTTAGCAAATGAATACCAAAAAATATTTAAGCACTGATGGATCCTGATGGAGCTCCCTTTGGAGAACCCTTGGTGAGCTGTCCAAGTCTAAACTGAATGCAGAAACAGAGGAAATCAACACAGGCCACCTGTGAAATTAAGAAACAGGTTTCTTATGAACAGAACCCATGCATGCTGTACTGGAAGTCAGACTGCATGCTGGTAACTCTGTGCTCGCCTCCTCTTGCTTGGCAGTCTATACTTGAGGCCATCTCGGACATCCCGGTCCACGCCAACGGCGCTTCAGAGTCCAGACAGACGGTTCCAAGCCCACTGAGTGGTGAGTGCAGTGCCATCAGCTTGAGACTGAGCTGTGTCCCCTGGGTGCTGTCCTGGGACCCAACATGGTGTCTTTTATATTGTGTATTTTAAGGTATTTTAAGCTGATGCACAAACACATCAACTTACACACATGCGTGTGGTACACGTGTGTGGGCACGACACCGGCAGACACTGTGTGATGCTCACATCAGCTTAGACCTCTCTGTCCTGTGTGTCACTGCTTCACGGCAAGGCCTGTCACACCTTTTCCCCACATCTGAATTATATTGTCCATTATCGTTGTCATGGAAACCCTGCTGTGCAGTAGGACCCCAGACTTGCTTCCTCCTGTCTAAATGGGATTTAGGACACCCAACCACCACCCGTGACCACCCTTCTGACTTCCAGGAGTCAGCTTCTAAAAGTTACCCATAAGTGTGTTTTTTTCCCCATCATGATGCTGTGGTGTCCAGCACTCATTTTTGTCATTCACGCGGACACCTGAGTGTGTCACACGAGAACGTTAATGAAGCCAGACTGAAAGGCGTCCCTGCCCTCCATCCCGGTCCTGCACAAGGGAGAAGCTGTCAGCTGCTGGCTCTGCTCCCAGCAGCTTACAAGGGACAGGCCAGCAAGGGCCAGCCCCTTGCTGGACAGGTGGAGGGCCCAGAAAGGGGTCTCACCTGCACTGTGAGAGAGAGAGAGATCCTGGAAGCCACACTTCTGTGTTTGGGCACTCACCTGTGCACCCATCTTCAATGTCCCTGCAGTCAGCACCTGCTTCAGACACCAGAGGTCAGGCCGGTGGAGAGTCCCTGAGCTCCATGATGGTCTCAGTGTCAGCCAGCTCAAGTCAACCAAAAGCACTGATTTGTATACTTCAGATTAAACAGTAAATAGCATAGTGTACGAATTGTATCTCAAAGGAGTTGCCACCAGGAAATAGGAAAGCAGAGAGGAGACTTGCCGGAAGTTATCCCCTGTCACGTACATGCTGCTCTAACGCGATGCGGCCCCAGTCGTGCCCTGTGCGCTGGCCCTGTGGTTTCGAGCCCAACCTGTGCAGTCTCTGGTCTACAAAGAAGGTCTCTAGGTCCCTTAGGCGTTAGACAGTGCTGCTTAGGAATGCCCGTTCATCTCTTAGGGCAGCTCTCTGTGCAACAAGAAGTACACCTCTGCTTTTGCCATTGTATGAATTCTTCCTTGTCCACTTACTGCATTTTCAGTTAGTTCAGACCTCTTAAATCTGTTGTCTTCTTAATTTGTTCACCCAACTTTTAATGTAAAATGAATTAAATCTTTTAATTTTTCTATTTGTTCCTTTTTTCCTATTTCCTCATATAGTTTTCATAGGAGGGGCAAAAGAGAAGGAGTTCTTTCTGTAATCAAATATGAAAAATTTTTAGGGTTTTTTGAGTAATACAGAAAAGGTGATGTATAAACACAATGGAGTACTGCTCAGCCATAAAGAAGGGTAAATCTGAGCCATTTATAGGAAAATGGAGGCACCTTGAGAACAGAATGTTAAGTGAAATAATCAGACACACAAACTTAAATACTGAATGGTTTCTCTAATATCAGAAACCTAACATATAAATAATGTAAAGAGGAAAATGAAAGCTAGATAATAAAAAATAAGGGGCTAGCACTTTTGCAAATGAGAAGAGGATCTCGAGATGGAGGAGGGAGAGGAGGGAGAGCAGACATAAAAGGAACTGAGAGTGCTCTGTACCTGCACAAGCTTCCTGCAGTACGTGTAATCATTGTGTGCTGCAAACGTGTACTAGTGAAACCTGAAAATAGGAGTAATTATTTATCCTGCATGAGCAGTTTTGCCCCACAGTAGAACAAAATACCAACCAAAGTCAGAAGCAGAGGATGGGGCTCCTTTGCTTTGGGTCAGAGGTGTCCTCTGCTGAGTTAACTTTTGGACTGGCTGGAGAGAAGCCCTGCTGGGGGCATGACGGGTCCTGCTCGCTTCTCCTGATGTGTATCCTGAGGAATATTTAGTTACAGCTCTTCCCACGGGCTCACCTGGAAAACTCAGAGGGGTGTCTAAGTCGAATTTATGGGATTTTGAGAGGCAAATATTCCATAGTTGTGGGGAAGAAACACAAGAGAATTAAAGCAGAGAGCAATGTTAGCGGGAACCTCCCCTCCCTTTCTCTTGGCCCCCAAGAGCAATGTCACCGAGTCTAATGGAGTTTAATTAATAATATAAGAATATATAGAAGACCTGGTTAGGGGCTTTGGCTCTAAACAGTTCTCAGCGGCAAACTTTCCAAGACATAAAAAGCTAACATTTAAAAACTCAGAGTGAATGGAAGATTGGTTTGGATAATGATAGATTGGAAATCCACGTCAAGTTGGATTTCACTGCGTCCTTCTTCACTGCATGCCTGGGGGAGCAGATGCTTTTATTTGATGTAAACATCTTTTGTGTTGGGGGTCACCTTGTGGTCTTCTGTGGCTGTTTTGTGATAAGTGGTGTTGGTTGAGTGGCATATTAGATACCCTGCATCTTTGTTTTTTGAGGCAATGACTGTCCAGAAAAGAACATTTCAACAGAGGCTGAAGAGCTGTCCTTTGAAGTGTCGTACTCAGAAATGGTTACAGAGGCTCCAAAAAGAAATAAATTGAAGAAATCAGAAATTAAGAAAGAAGACTATGCTTTAACTGTAAGTGAAACCCTTTGTGGTTATTCCAGTAACTTTCTGGAACTTCTCCATGGGCCAAACTGAGGACTTAAACACTCAAAAACAGAAACTGTCAGCACCAAAGGGGTAGGAGGCTGGGTGTGAGCACTGCCAGCTGCCATTGTGGGTGCTATAGGGTGGGTGCACCCACTTAGCTGAGATGGGTTCATGAACAACAATATAGGAATCCAAGCAGCCAAACTGATAAATTTGAAATTTATTGTCTGAGCTCAGGACCACTGGTTTACACACACACACACACACCTCCCAGTTCAGGGTCCAAACAAGTGGCCCCCAACTGGAAAGTTACAGAGTTTTTGAAAGAGAGAATCACAAAAGACATCCTGTTGGAAACAATTTAGCTAGGATCTTACATTAATTTTTGGTTGACACCTGTATACTGCTTCTTTTGTTGAGCAGGTTAATTTTTCTCCTGTGGATACAGCTCATTCTGCTTTTCTCATGGGACTTGCACCCTGTAATTCTCCATTTTCCTGAGTCAAATACAGGGCATTAGGTAAATGCAGGGCTCAGGATGGCATCAGTTATGCCAAGCCACAACAACAAGCTGTACCTAGCAGACCTGTGTTGAGAAGCTGTGAACTGAAATTATTGAATCTTCTTTCACAGACTGGATCTGTGAAAGTCAGTTTTCCATTGCTTTGGAAAACTCCTGAGATAAATCAGCCCAGTAAGAGGAAAGATGTATTTTGGCTCACACTTAGTGAGGTTGCAGCGTGGTCAGCTGACCTGCAATGTTTGGGCAGGAGCCTCTCATGGCAGAGCACATGTGGAACAAGCCGCTTGCTGCATGGTGGGCAGGGAGTGAAATGCGAAGCTGGAAAGGCCTGCATCCTAGCGTCTCCAGCAAGGTCACGCCCCCAGTTACCTCACTTCCTTTCACTAAGCATCACCTCCTAAAGGTCCCACCAGCTCTCCATAGCTCCACAGACTAGGGAGCAGCCTTCAAGACGTGGGCCATGTAGTTCCTCACCATAGCATAGAGGTGGGGTTTCAGCCTGTTGGTGAGTGTTCTTACACTCACTCGTGGGTCGGTGCAGGCACTGATTGTGTGTATCTCATAGTCCTAGAATCAAGCATTCAGAGAACAGATGTTAAAAACTCAGGAGAACCAAGAGCTGGTGTCACCAAAAGACAGGCACCCTGTTATCCTGAAAACCTCTTTCTGTTTGTCTGAATATTGTGTCCCAGAAGCCTGACCCAGGATGAGGTGACACCCATCCATTTGCTGCTCATTGAATAAACACATATTTGCAGAATTCCTGACCTGGAGATCTGTGCATTCTCTGCTGATCAGAGCTGCAGGCTGCATGCACAGGGCTCGGGTTATTTCAGAGCTAAAAGAGTGATTCCTCAGGAAAGGTCTATTGACAGCCCAGCCTATTCCCACTCAGCCACTCTGATATGGGGGAGAGAGAGAGAGATTAAGGAAGACTCATTGAGCATTGTGCTCCCACCTGATGTGGAACCAGAATCTCTAGCTGCAGGGGGACCCTGGTGATTACTCCCTTTTACAGATGAGAAAAACTGAGGACCTGAGAGGCTTAGTCATGTGTCTGGTCCCCAAGAAGCCCCCACATTGGATGGCAGAGTGGTGTTCTAGGACAGAGAGGGAAGCCCTAGAGACTGGTGTCAGGAGCAGCCCCTCTTATAGATCTCTTTAGAGAGCTGTGCAGGAAAGTTATCTCATCAAAGCTGCCTCCTCCTGAGGCCTGACCACAGGAGTGCTGGTCCACCTCGTGGAAAGGACTCAGCCAGGCTTAGCATGCAACACCTGCGCAATGGGTGAAACGGTTCTTACGGTCTCAGGAGCATTGGAAGGTAATGAAGAGCGTGGAATAGTACAAGCTGCACTGTGCTGTCTTCCTTTTAAGCCCTTGAGCTTCCAAGCATTGGCAGAAGGTGTGGGGTCCCCAGGTCATCTCCAACTTAGGGAACCCTCGTGGAGGATGTGTTTTAAAGCTATGAGTGTTTTCGATTGCTTCAGCATACCTTTCAATGTTCAGTTCTCTGAGAAGAAAAAGCCTTCTGGATGTTATGAGAATCATCTTTTACTGGCCCCTTAGATTATCCTCAATGCTTCTAGATTATTTTCATGAGTCTTTTAGTACATTTGATTTCTTTGTGTGGAAATGGAAGAAGATATTATAGTATTGTTGTCTTCAGAAGGTTAATAAGATTATTTGTGGTTTGAATATATTTTGCTTTTTTAAGAATTTGGAATCTAGTCTAGTTTTTAAGGTAGACTAAGTGCTGTCTCAGTGAGCATGGGTAATCCAGACCATGGGAGGTTACTAAAAGTCTTGTAAAGTATGTAGTTGTGGAATGTGCAAACCCTGATTTAAGGGGAGGAACCACCTTTACTAAGACCGCCCACAGCTCCTGTAGGCAAGACCTAGGCATGTCATCTCATAGGTGTGCCCGTGTGTCACCCAGATTGGGAACTTGTGCCAAATCCCCATGATGCTCAGCCCTTCTGCTCTTTGACGGGGCAGGATATCCCTTCTGAGAAAGCAGTTTCCACAACTGTGATGGTGAAGTCAGCAGGCAATTCCAAGGCACCAATAGTATCTCTGTGACCCAGCATGATTCTTGAGTGTTTTTGCAAATATCATGTTTTGCCATTGTCTTAGTTACTTTCTTCATTGTTGGGACAGTTTGCCTGACACTCACAAATTAAAAGAGGAGAGGTTTATTTTGACTCCCAGTTTGTAGATTCTAATCCATAATGAGCTGACCCAAAGGCAAGGCAGCTTGGCAGTGGAGAAACAGCCCCATGGCATGGAAGCAGGAAGCAGAGAGATCAAGGGAGGAGGTGACAGACCTTTCCAGGCCATTGCCCCAATGGCCTTCCTCCTCCCACCATGCTTCCCAGGGTCACAGTTAGCTGTAAACTCATCAGTCTACTAATCCATGGTGAGTGCCACACTCCTATGATCCGATTGCTTCCCAAAGCCCCACCTAAATGCACATGAGACTGGGGGAGCATCTAGACATAAACTGTAACAGTTCTGTAGATGTAAAATGTCCCGCTGGCACTGAATGAAGATACAACAATTTTCCTTGGCCATCAAACCCCAATATCTTCCTTTTGTGTTTTAGAAATTTATTGTCCAGAAGACCAGATTTGGGCTCACCGAAGCGGGAGACCTGTCCCCTGAGGACATGAAGAAGATCCGCCATCTCTCTCTGATCGAATTGACCGCCTTTTTTGATGCCTTTGGAATTCAGCTGAAAAGAAGCAAAACAGAGAAAGTCAAAGGACGAGGTAACTGAGAGGACTGATCGTTTCCCGCTTTGACCCTGGCACACTGGCATGAAAGAGTCACTTTTCTGATTCTTTTCTCTTTCTCCCTTGATTCTCCCAAATGAAGACACTGGGATCTTCGGAGTCCCGCTTACTGTGCTCCTGGACAACGACCATAAGAAAGACCCTGCAGTCAAAGTCCCCCTTGTGCTACAGAAAGTGAGTAGACCACAACAAATGGGGAGCCCCTAGCACCGCTGCGTGGACTCGGTACCTTGCGTGGACTCGGTACACAGATGAATTTGCCTTTCCATTTGAATGTGCTGTAGTCCCGTTCAGATCCAGGCCAAGGGTGAGTTTCAGCTTCACCCTCTGCATCTGCACAATAGTCACAAGTACTTAGGCCGCTTGGATTTCTTTTTAGTCTGCCTGGCATGACTGTAACAGAATCCCCGAAGCTGACTCTTTGTAAGAAAACAAATTTATTTCAATCACAATTTTGGAGGCTGAGTATCCAAAAAGCATGGCACTAGCTCTGACAGAGTCACTGAACTGGGTCACCCTGGGGCAGTGACAGGGCTCTGATGGGCATAAGTGCCACAGGAAGGAACCAAGTGACCAGACAGGAGTGACCAGACAGAAGAGGTGGAGGACCACTGGCTTCTTTGTTCTTCCAGTACTTTTTCAGACTCATCTGTGCTTGAGTGTTGTGTTTTTCCATGCGTTCACCATTGGTTTGGCTAAAGACAGACCTTAACTGTTAACGATGTATTTATGGATTGTGTATTTGTTGACTTATATCCTAGACTAAATTTTTTTAAAATGGCTATGTAATTATTTCCTGAGTTTTCCAGGCAAAGGTAAATAAAATCTAAAACTCTGCTTGTCCTGGTTATTTTTCGGTTATGACAGGCAGATAGAGGTTAGAGCTAGAACTTTGGTGGAACAGAGCTTTTCAGTGATGTGTCTGGAGTGTCCCTTATGATGGTCTCTGTGGCTTTGGGGGCTGGGCAGCTGGTTTCCTGTTAGGCTATGTTTTCATGACGCAGGCCCAGGAAGAAGAGAAAATGTGCTCTGGGCGCAGAGCAGGCCACCACAAAGACAAGACAGCGGCCAAAAGGTCAGTGGCCAGTGTGCTTTATGCCCTTCCTTTGTGACAGACCCCAAGGGTCCTGCACAGGGCTCCAAAGCTGTGCTGCATGTGCATCTGGCATGACTGACAGCTGTCTGAGATTGACAGGGCACACACAATTTCCCAGCCACGCTGCTTAACCTGATCTGTGCCTTATAACTGTGTGCACTTTCCAGTAGAGCCATCCCGGGGTGGCTCAAGTTAGCAACCCAAACGGATCTCACTAAAATCCAGCACGAGTTTTTACATGCTCTATAAAAATACAAATGGAGAAAACATACAGCAGCTTTACTCCCACCAACCCCTATTCTGTGTTCCTGTATTCTGCTGGCAGTAAACACCTCGAGCTAAGCTGTCCCTCAGATCTGGTGACGAGAGCAGCAGGGTGAAAACCAGACAGCCAGAGGATATGGTGGCAGCCCTGTAACCAGGGCCACCCTGGGCTTGCTGAACCACCCCCCCCACTGCCCTCTCACATGATAAATATCCCATCTCTTCAGCCAGGGCGCCCCAGGTCAGGGCCATCCCCTTCCTCCTTCTGAAGAGCCGGGGTAGGCAGAGGATGCTGGGCATGTGTCCAGGTCCTCAACCCACACAGCTCTGAGACTTTCTTCCCTTCTTTGGATTAAAACCAGAATTTTACCTTTGGTCCCCGTCATAAAGTCAATTTTGAGAAAATCTATGAAAATCTAAGGTTCAGTGCACAGAGGTAAGCTGCTTTGTAGGTGTAAGAATGCAACAGGGAACTCAGCCAGTGGAAGCAGACGGGGTGCTCGGAGAGCACTAAAGTAAATCTTCATGGATTCATGTCACGTCCCTCGCTCCGCCCGTGTGAGCTGTCATCACTGGCAATGGGAGTGCTCCTTAAGACCATAGCAATGTGGAAGTCACGCCAGTGTTTAGTCTTACTGTGCCTCAGTGTGCCCAGCAGTAGAGTGGGGATAATAACAGGACCTATTTATAGGGTTATTGCCAGGATGAAACGAGCTCATCGGTCACCACCATCCAGAGGGGGCGCAGCTCATGGTGGTAGATTCAGACTCCTCCCCGCTGGTCAGTCTGCACAGAGGTGTCGAGGTTGACAATTAACATGGTTACGAGGCAGCATGTTAACCTGGCACAGGGTGGATCTCGGGGAAGCTAAGTCTCTTGTGCTCATTTGCATGTGGGCGGATACTGCTGACCTTGTAGGGCATCCGTGAGCATTTAACAAGACATTCGAATCCTGGCAGGAAAGCAGGCTTGGGATTTTGCCTCGATGTTATTCCGGGCGTCTGTGATCGGGCAGAGGTACTTACTTTGTCCTTATTGCCTTGTTTTGCAGTTTTTTGAGAAAGTTGAAGAGTCTGGTCTGGAATCTGAAGGAATTTTTCGACTTTCCGGATGTACAGCCAAAGTCAAGGTATCCCGTGTTTTCTCTCCTCATCAGCGATCCAAGCTGTCTAGACTCAGCTCAAATGAGACCAGGAATCCAGGCTTTGTCGTTCATGTTATTTACGTATTTGATGCTGGCACTGATCTCTGCCTAGTAGTCTACATTTGTTCCATGAACTTTGTAAATTAAAACAATTCATAAGCAACCTACAACAAAACAAAGAGCCAATGCACTGTCTTCAGTCTCAAAGTGCCCGTCACTGCCTTGGGGGCTGAGTGTCTCAATTCTTCGTCTCAGAGAAGCCACTAAGCCCTTGTCTCATGACCCGCTGCTGTAAGCTCAGAAACACTCTGCGTCTCCCCTTTCACTAGACCGTGTATAAGGCTCGGTTCTGAAGCCCGGCTCCACTGAAGGTGTCACTGCTCTCCACACTGGAAACCTGTCCCTCCTCACGGCAGTGAAGGCCACAGCATGGTAGAGAAAAGGGGCACGGAACAGAAGAGCTTTCCTCCCCAGTCTCCAGTGAGAACTCTCCCTGTGTCACCTGGGGGCAGGGAGGTGGGCAAAGGAGACCGCTCAGCCCTGGCTGGTGGGTGCTAGATGGCAAAGCCTGAGGGGAGGGAAAGAAGGGAGGAAGCTGAGCTTGGTTGTCTTGAGAACTATTCAGAGGCCAGGCACCTCGGGGGAAGGCGCCGCTTCATCTGTCCGTCTCCGTCTCCTTATGTGCGCTGGGAAATGCTGTTTGTATCAGAAGTCTCAGGGCTTTTCTACAGAAGTGTGACTAGAGGTTTTTGAAGTGGAAATGGAGAATAAATAGGTCGTGTCTTTTCCTCCAGAGGCCTAACGCTGAGGCAGATTTGCTGCAGAAGAGAGCTCTGGGGACCAATGCCTTTGAAAGCTAAAAGGGGCCAAACGGGGAGGCCCATCATGCAGGCTGGCCCAATGCTCCCCCAGGGAGTCCTGCGCCCTGCTCAGCTCTGTTCTGCCTGGGCTTCCTTCAAAGGACATGGCCAAGGTGAACCCAGAGGGGAAACAGCTGCCCAGGCCAGGTCAGCAGCCTGCAGCTCTGCATGTGAATGGAGCAAGTTCTCTTTTGAAGGGAGAGCTGAGTGGGGACCCCGTGTGTCCCCAGTGAGCCCAGAAATCAGGGTGTGGAGGGAGATGTGGGCTCCCAGAGAGCAGAGCTGGATGATGCTAACTGTAGGCAACACTTCCCTTGAAAGGCAGCTCAGCTGAAGCAGGAGGATCACTGCGAGTTCAAGGCCGGCCTGGGCTACCATAAATGAGTTCAAGGCTAGCCTAAAATACACAGTGAGACTCCATCTCAAAAAAGAAAAAGAATGAAAAAAGGAAAGGCAACTCGGCTCTTGTTAAAGTTCACGCTTGCTACACTGAGCTGCTCTTTGCCCTGGTTCCTCAGGAGTTTGTTCCTTAGATACAATTAGGAGACTGAAAGCTACCGCTAGCTGTGGTCAGTTTCGCTATCAGCAGCATCAAAGACATGAAAGGAAGTCAAAGAAACCGATTTCCTAAAACAGCCCTCCACCCCGCCCTCTGTAGTATATTTACACAAATTCTCATGGGTTCCTGCATTTGTGTATGCGTGTGTGTGTGTGTGTGTGCACGTGTGTGTGTGAAAAGTATAGCAGATATGACCTAAGTCACCTTTTGCTAAATAATCAACTTGAAAACATGACAGGACATTTCCCATGGGCTCAGGTTCCCACACCAGCAGAGGTTACTTTTCTCAAGTGCCTCTTGGGCTGCGAAGCACTTGTCCGGGCTGGCAAGTCCGTGAACCGTGATGATGTCAAGGTCCCTCTTGTCAAGGGTTTTGTGTAGCATCAGCCTCTTCATTCCACCTCCCATTAGTCTGGAAACTTCCAATGTTCCTAGGCCTAGAGTTCCAAAAAGCCTATGTGCAAGAAATCTGGACTGCAGACCAGAGACAGGTGCGGGTGAGCCAAGGGGCCCGGTGTCTTTAAGGGACCCTCATGGCTTTCCTCTGTTCCAACCTGAACTTCTCTTTTTCTTTTTTAAAATCTCCTTGGCCGGACTACTTTGTGTCAGAATGTCCTTGCACAAAGGCAGTTTCTTTTCTGAACTCCATTAGGACTGTCCCTACATATGCCAAGTAAATGGCACCAGCTATTTGGGGCTCTGCTGGGGAGCAATCTGGTCTGGCTTTGTGCCAGAAACACGGCAAGACCCACAGAGAAGCAGCCCTGAGCGGAAGCTGCTAAGCTGGAGCCCAGCTGGGACCTGGCTGCGGAGCTGATCCCATACTGGCGGCCTCAGATCATTGGGAGCTAATTTGATCCTTTGGATGCTCCATGATTTTCTCTGCAAAACATGGCAGAAATGCCTGCACTGGGGGAGATGTTGCATGAAGATGGGACTGGCATAACTGTTCTCTGTGTTGCCTCTGTGCCTTCTTCAGGGATAGCTGTCAGTGCAGGACAGTGCGGGCGAGTGCAGGCCCTTGCTTTGAATGGTGGCCACAGGCTTAGCTGTCTCTAATCGGTTGATTAACGCTCAGAGGAGACTTCAGGAAGCAGCTTCCGCCCTGGCCTCTGCTCACACCGGCAGTGGGTGGAAAATCAGCTTCTTTGCTCTCCAGTGCTGCCCGTCCTGGCCAGGACCATTTACACCTGACCTGCGTGGCCTTGCATTTGGGGCCATGCTGAGAAACCAGCACTGCTCCTATGCTGTAGCTGCATTGGCCGGAACTGGAAGAGCCATTTTCTCTCTCTCAGTGCTGTCTTGTCCCAGCCTCCCTGACAGGAAGATGTGGCACTGCTCCCCAGCCGGCCACCTGGGCCCTGGCCTCAGGGGCAGAATCACAGGGATGGCCCCGCTGAGAGTTTTCATTTACATGATCCATTTTCATCTCAGCAAGGTCATTGTTTAAAAATGCATTTTTAATGGATACCTAAAATCACAGAAACTTTCTGTACTTGTGGGAGTTTCCGTCTGTGGGTGTGCTGCACAATGTTTAAATGGGGCTGCATGCCTGTCTGTGACACTTAGTGTATCTTTATGATGAAAACTTCAGACTCCTTTCTTCTAGTTGTCCAAAATGAACAAAACAGTGCCATTATGTGTAGTCACCCTACTGTGCAGTAATGCAGAAATTCATGGTCCTGAGGCACAGTTGTGGTCAGGTGAGCGTCACTAGGTGCCTGCCACAGCATTGTCCGCAGTTTTTGGTCACCAGTATTCCACTCTGCTTCCCTGAGGGCAGCTTTCCCCGATTCCACTTAGGAGTGGGGTCATGTGAAACTTGTCTTCCTCTGCCTGGTTTCCTTTACCTGCCACAGTGATCAAGTTCCATGTCCATTGTCATGAGCGCCAGGGTTTCGCCTGTCACGGCTGTGTAGCATTCCGTCCTGTGTGCATACCATGTGTCCTTCCTGAAGTTCCCAGCTGGTGGACACATCAGTCAGTTTTCTATTTCTTGGCTACTGTGAACAGAGCGTCTATCCATTTGAGAGTGTAGCTGTGTCTTTGAGGTGCTGATTTCATTTCCGTCAGATGTGCACCCACGAGGTGGGATTGCTGGATATACCAGAAGCATGCTTGCAATCTTTTGAGGATCCTCCATACTGTTTTCCACCATGGCTGTACTAATTTACATTCCTGCCAACAGCTGACAAGGGCTCCTTTTTTTCCACCCTTCATGTTCACCAGCGTTTCTTACCTTTGATCTTTTTGATCATCGTGTTTCTGAAGTAGTCATTATGGTTTGGATCTAAGATTTCCCTCAGAATTCTTTTGCGTTCACACATGGGACATTTGCAAGGCGCTTGGGTCATGAAAGCTGTGACTTCTGGTAGGTGAGTTCCATGGACTCACGATGGGATTATTGGGAGGTGACAGTCACTGAAGACATGGGCCCAAATAGAAAGGAGTGAATCGTGGTGGGTGTGACCGTGAGGACTGAATCTCATCTCTGGCTCTGCTTTTGTCTTCTTCTTTCTGCTTCCTGACTAAGGTAAGTAGCTCTCCTCTGCCCCCACGGTGCTTCTGCTTTGCAGGACAGACTCACCACTCACCCCTCCTGCGGCTTTAGCAACACCTCCCCAGGCCAAAAAGCACTGGGCCCAGTTGACCGTGCACTGAAACCTCAGAAACCATGTGCCAAAAGAAACCTTTCCTCCTTGAAGACCTTATCTTCAGGTATTTTGTCACAGTGACAGAAGGTTGACTGATGCAGAGGTGATGCTAAGCTGTGGTTTTGATTTGTATTTCCCTGATGATTAACATGGTGGTACTAGCCATCTGTGTAATCCTCTTTTGAAAAATGTCTGTTTAGGTCTATTTACCTACATTTTAATCAAGTCAGTTCTCGCTGCTGATTTCTCTTGTTATGAGTTTCTTAATATTTTGGATATTAACTATTGTCAGAAGTATAGTTTGCAAATACCTTCTCCCAGTATGTAAGTTATCTCTTCCCTCTGCTGATTTGTCTCCTTTGCTGAGCAGGAGATCTTTAATAGAATTCCCTTTGTCTATTTTTGCTTCTGTTTCCTGTGCTTTGGTGGACTTTGCCCCAAAATCCTTGTCCATTCCAATGTCTTCAAGCATTTCCCTTATGCTTTCTTTGAGTAGTTTCATGGTTTCAGGTCTCAAGTTGAGTCTTTAATCCATTTTGAATTGAATTTTTCTGCCGGTGAGAGACAGGGGTCCAACTTAAGTCCTCTGCATGTGGGTGCCCAGTTGTCCTGGTACTGTTCATTGAAAACACTGCCCTGTGAGCAGTCCCAGCTCCTTTGTGGAGTACCGCTTAGCTGTAGCTCTGTGGTTTACTCCAGGCTCTCTGTTCTGTTCCGCTGGTTTAGGTGTGGATTTTTAGCGGGTCCCAGGTGTTTTACCATTGTACCTTTGGAGGATGTTTAAAGTGAGTGTGATGTCTCCTGCTTTACTCTTTTTGCTCAAGATGGTTTTGGCTATCCAGGGTAGAACTGTTTCTAATATCCCTGTCGTACAAGGAGAACTGTGAGGCACAGGCCAGGCAGCCTGTGAGTTGTGGAGTCGGGATTGAAGCCTCCACACCCTGACTGTAGCACCAGCCCCTGGCCTGGCACCGTGCTGTCTCTTGGGTAACTGGACATCACTCCCAGTCATGGTTCACATGCTTCCTTTGGCCATGGCGCATGAGAAATAAGGTTAATTCTGCTTTTGCAGATGCTTCCTCTCTCCTTGAAGAACCATTTCTCCATAGCAGGAGGACCAGGGAATTGTGTGCATTGCTCACCCGTCCTCCTGTGTTTTCTGTTAGCCACCCCTCCACGTACCCATCCCAGCCAGGAAGTCATCCCGGACCCCGCTGTGGGTCTCACATTCAGCCCATGGTGGTCCTTAGGCATGGTGCCTCTTCGGCAATTCTTAGATCCCCCTCCTTTCCATTCTACAGCTGTGTACCCAGGTCAGTCCTTGGTTGTCCATCAGCAGACAAGGTGTCATTGCTGGTAACTGGGCTCCTGCCCTTCCCTGGCCCTGGCCCGCACCAAGCTCCACACTCACCCGGTCATCACCCAGCTGTCAGAGAGGATGACTAACCTGCCGGCCTCTCGCTTAGAAATGGTCCAAGTTTCCTCACTGCCTGCAGGACACATCCCTGTCCCCTTGGAGCTGGGAGCCTGATCATGCTGGACCTCGGTGCACTATGGTTCCTCTGTGCAGCTGCCCCTCCTGGCCAGGGTGCCTTCCCATGGCCTCTCCCTGCAAGCTCCTCAGCAGCCTTGGCCCCAGCAGCCAGCTTTCAGGGCTGCTCAATGGCCATGTGTGGCCTCTCCACAGCATTCACACCCTAGAGTTAGCGCCACTCCTAAAAGAGCCCTGTAGCTGGCCTGGAAGGCGCCTGCGGGCACAAACAGGTCCCACGTAGCCTCCTCTTCCCAGAGCCCCCGGGGCATGATCTCCAGGATGAGATTAACATGTGTGGAAGGCTTTATCAAATGCATCTCTGCAGAGCACTGTTGACTAGCTGTCCTATTCCTATTCGATTCCTGGACCAGAAGAAAAGTCCCAAATTCATCAGCAGAGGTAGACAGACAGTAGATCTAGATTGGAGGTGTCTCTGTAGAAACTGGTCTGCAGAGGATCGGTCCCCCTTCTGCAGGCTCTGGGAGCCAAGCGCTGTCATCAGGGAGCTCATCCAGGTAGAAATAGGTGTGATGAGTGAGCTGCCTGGCTGCACATGCTCGAGGCCAGAAGAATCTCAGGATTCTCATGAGAGCAAAGCAGAAGGTTACAAAACAGGGTGTCCAGGAGTCAAGGAGTCCAGGAGTCCCTACTTCCTAGCATCGCAGATGAACCTTGTAGGGAGCATGAAAAAAAAATATGAGTCTGATTTTGGAAAAGAAACATGGAGAAGGTTGGACCTGATAATGAAATGGATAATGTAAAATGTGCAAGACAGAGCCTAAGGAGTTATTTAAAAAATCAAAGAGCAATTGCCCAGTGCTGTCAGCCCTGCAAAGCCGAAACGTCCCAGGTGAAAGCCACGCGTTTGCAGTTGCCGCTCCAGGAAGGTGTCATTGGTCTGCCTGCTACAGCGAGGTCACTGTGGCTCTACTGAGACTTTCCTGGCTCTGTTTGTGGCCCCAGGAGAGCTGTGCCATCCTGGTCTAATTTAGAAATAGAAGCGAGGGTGGCAGAAGGGATTGTGCAAAAGAAGAGGGCAGGGACTTGGTCAGCAGCCAGCTGTGCATCCGCATGTGGAGGGTGGGGGAGCTTCCCAAAGCCGCACAAATGAAACGAGGATCTAAGTAAAGATCTTTAGGCTTGTGTGGATTTGGTAATTATTTCAAGATCAACATTAGTTTTAAAATATATTTGAGCCAGGAATGGTGATGCAGGTCTATAATCCCAGCACTCTCGAAGGCTGCGGAAGGAAAGTCACAAATTCAAGGCCAGCCTGAACAATTTAGTGACATGGCAAGACTGTCTCAAAATAAAGAATAAAAAAAGTGTTGAGAATGTAGCTCAGTGTTGAGGTCTTGAGTTTGAACCCTGATAGCACACAAAAAAATTATTTTTTTCAAAAACCTTGTTTAGAAATTCATTCACAAATACCTGTTTCGGTTCTCTAATCACACAGAAAAGCAGGCTCAGACACATTTGCATTACCAATGTCTTTGCAAAAGAAGCTTATTAACCACAGTTTGCAGAGGGACACGGGCGGCCCAGGGTAAGAACCCAGAGTGCTGACCGCCTTCCTTGGTTTGCAGCAATACCGTGAAGAGCTGGATGCCAAGTTCAATGCCGATAAATTTAAATGGGACAAGATGTGCCACAGAGAAGCTGCCGTGATGCTGAAAGCCTTTTTCCGAGAGCTGCCCACCTCCCTCTTCCCTGTGGAATACATCCCTGCCTTCGTCGCACTGATGGAAAGTAGGTGAACGCCGCCCCTTGGGCCTGGGCTCAGATACCAATAAGACCCAGCACGCAGCAGCGGGGTTGGGGGAGGTGCAGAGTGAAATGTGGTGCTGGTGGGGAGATTTGCGGTTTCCTGATCTGAGTGGGCAAAATGCTGAGCGTGACAGTCAGCATTCACCTGCCTACAACCTGGGGGGTAGACGGGGTGCAGGGGGTTATGCCTACTCCACGACACAGCTATGGAGGTGGGTTCCTGTGCAGTCAAGGTTCTTTTCTTTAACCGCTGCCCCTGTAATGACAGATAACCAGGACTCATCAGGGCTTTCATGGGTGCTGACTGAAGCCATCTAGAACAGTGGCTCAGTGTCACAGTCCACTGAAGACTGTGAAGTCCCTCCCGGCCCTCCCTCTGAGGTCCGGGGCTGGAGATGCCGGTTGCCACACACTCAGCATGTTCTATCCCGGAGAATCACAATGTCACATCATGTTTCTGAAAAGTCACCAGATCTGCCCACCAGCTTGGCCTTAGGTGACATCTTGGACAGCACAGTCGTGGGGACCTGTGCTGTACTGGACAGGGAAGAATCTGACTGCCATGCTTGGACCACAGAGGTTGAATAGTGTACAGAAGAAGAGCGGGGCTTTGGTGACAACCCAAGGAGCTCAGGGCTCCCAGGCTCGGTGCAGACAGGCGCATTAGCAGGTGGCAGTACTGTGTGGACAGAGAAGGACCGTGGCCAGCCTGACAGGGTGATCCTGGCCATGCACAGCTCTAGATGACAATCGGTTGCTGCGCAGGGCTGAGAGCCAAGTCCAGGCTTACGCTTGATTTTAAAACATAAGCCTCAATTCCACGTTTTGAACCCAGTGTGAGCTTAGCAAGTGACATCTGTGGCTGCCGGTTTGCCACCTTCTGTGGGAGGACAAGAACTGCAAACCCCTAGTGAAAGTAAAGGGTGATAGATCCGATCTGCGTGGCCAGATCTGACCTGAGGATGAAGTGCTCCCAGTCTTTACAAGTTTTCACTAAACCAGATCCACCAAATAATTTCTTCCCTTCAATAAGAGACCGTGACAGGGAAGGCAGCCTTTGTCTGAGCTTTTATTCCCATGCCACCAGGGACAGGCATCACTTTTCCTTGTAAGGTCTCATGCTTTTATTTTCTGAGAAAAAATTGCTGAGAAACAAAAGCTCACCCCCTTCTTTGATTTTAATTTTGGCTATTATATATTTTTTCAGCTCTAGAGTTTCCGGTTGATGCTGTACAGGTGTTTCTGTTTATCCGCTGCAGGGCCCTTCCTTTTTCATTCTGCATTTTTTATCCCTAAGCTTATTTTTTTTTCACACCCTCGAGGACAGTCTGATAACCAGCTTCAGAACCCTCGTCTGTAGCTGCAGTTCCAGAGTCCTCTCAGCGCTGTCCTCCTATGGCAGGGAGGTGTGACCTTATGTGAGCCTTGTTCACTGTCGCTGGTCCTCTGCTTGGCTGGCCTTGAGTTGTCTGCAGTCCTCAGGCCAGCAGCTGGGCGAGTGTCCCTGCTGTGATTTCATCCTTTGCTGCCCCCTCGTGGCACCCTTGAGGTTCTGCGAGAGAGTCCAGGGAAGCTCTTTCCAGAACTATCAGGGCTTTCCTCCTTCTAGCCTCTCCTTTCTGGCACTTTCCAGTGCTTGGGGCTGCCTTGAACTCTTGTATTCAGAGCAAGATTTAGGGTAATTTAGACCAGAACTTTTGGGTAATTTATTATTGAGCTTTGGCCATGCTGGGCAGTCCTGGCCATGGCAGCATCTCAAACCAAAGACCAGGAGAAAAGAGGATCTCAAGACCCTGTGCATCCCCATGTCCTGGGTGCTCAGAGCTATCCAGGACCCGCCTACCTCATTCACTCTCTTCTGTCCCTGGAAGTTATGGGGGACATTTTCCAGAGATGATTGGCACCTTCAGGATGGTTGATTTTGTAGGACCTTACTCAGCTACTCCAAGAGCCGATTCCTTACTTCTCAGAAAAAAAGAAAAAGGAACAGGATTTTCCATGGTGTTTGCCTTCTTGGAAAATAAGCTGCAAATTATGAGTTTCCCCTTGCTCTGTGGTTTGTGTGCTAAAAAATGCATTGAGGCAGACTGGTGCTGTAGAGGAATTTGGGTTGGTGTTATCCAAGGAGGACTCAGACTTCCCATGCCAGAGCTGCCAGGGTAACTGCATTAACAAAAGGCAAGTGACTCAGTGCATTTCCCTGGGGCCATCCCCCTCCCCGAGTGCCCAGGTGGCCAGCACACCTCCCTGCAGCGGGCAATATGACCTTCTCCAAGAAGGGTCACCAAAGAGCCTGCGTCCTCGTGGGACTTTCTAAGTGAAAAACACTAGATTGCAGGTGATTGATTTGATTTCTGCCAACCCTACAGAAAGCCCAGAGTTACAGCCTGTGACTCCCAGGAAGTAATGGGGCTTTTTCGTCACCCGAAGCAAGCTGTAGCCAAGCGGAGATATTCCTAAAGCAGAAGGGCACTGCAGACTGCAGGGGGAGCTGCTCTTGGGACACTCAGATCCCTTCCTCATTTGGTTAATTACTTTTGCTTTTCAATCTCAGCCTCCAAATTCGCTGCACCATTAATAAGCTAATAGTTCATGAATCAACCTCAGCTGCTTTCAGGAAAAAGTACAGTCACTCTCTGGGAAAACAACGGCTTCGCGATAAAGCAAGCTTTCTACCAGGATGCACTGAATATATTAATTACAGAAGAATTAACCACAAAGCCGTGTAGGGCCAGGTTTCCGAAGGAAAAGGGGGATGGGTTATTTGCCAAGTTAGATTTTAATTACACAGGCAGCGGCCCCCTTCTCTAAAGGCAGCAGATAGGGAGCTATGGGGCCTGCAGCTGCCCCTACTGGGTCTCCCCCTCCCTTGTGGTGTTTTGGGGTTGCACTGGGAGGTGAGGGACAGTGTGACCCCAAGTGCCCTGTCTTGAGACGCTCTCCTGACAGGTCCTGTTCCCAGGCAGGTGCACCTCACTGTGCAATCACTGCTTTCAGGGCCAGGTTTGTTTACACATTTGACACAGGCACTTACATCTCCCACAAGGATGGCACTAGTACAGCATGACAGGGTCCTGTAAACGCCTCCCACTTTTCTGGGTGCAGTGTCTGCAGACCCTGGCAGTTCCTCCCCACCACACAAATAACCCCAGTTCTCAGCCTGGCTGGGGACCGTGGTCCCGGAAGCAAAGGACTTGGCCAGTAACTGCCAGCCGTCTGGCGCCACCTTGTGTCACAAAGCAATGAAACGCTCAACAGTCACCATAGATCAAAGGACAGCCACCTGCTCTCGGTGACCCAGTAAGTTCCGGAATCAGCAGCTTGGTCCTAAAAACAAGAGCACACACGCGGAAGCATGACCAATGGGTGCTGGTTTGAATGCTGTTCCCGGTAACTCCTTGAGTCCCCAGCTCAGCCTGTGCAGTAGACATGGTCACTCCCATTTTACAGAGGAGTGGCAGGGCTCAGGGACCCGGCCAGGCTCACACAGGGACAGAGGGGACACACAGGATGCAAACCTGGTTCCTAGCAATTATGCATTGATGCCTGTGTATGTGAAAGCCAGGTTTCTCTCTTCTTGAATGGTGCAGTGACCTAGGTCAGTGCAGATGCCTTGACAAGGGAAATACCAGGCCAGTTCTGCGTTTTTCTGAGGCTGTCAGCATCTGTCATTGCAGGAGGGAAGGGGAGTTGACAGAGCAGGCGGGCTCCTGTCTGAACGGGCACGATTACCACATCAAGCACCAAACCCGAATCTGTGCCACTGGGACTGGTAGGAGCCCTCCTGTGCCATCGGGTGTCAGCGTGAGAGGCTGGCACAAGGTTTCCCATCACTGTGTGCAGCAGCTGTCTGTGTTTCCTTGTAGGAGGCTCTCACATCAGATTGCAGCTTCAGGCCTTGCACCTCATGGTCATGGCGCTGCCGGACGCCAACAGGGACACAGCCCAGGTAAGTCCCCGCAGCCCCTTCTGCCGTGGGTGCCTGCAGTGCCAACGGCGGGCTATGTGTGGAAAGGCAGACCGTGTGGCAGCTCACAGGGTGGTCCGTACGGCTGCACACCCCTGTCATGTGCTGAGCAAGGCAGCAGAGGCGCACATCTTCGGACGCTGATGTTTCTCATCTTCAGCTCATTCAGGAGATCCTCGGTGTCTAAGTGTGTGCCTGGCCCTAGCCCAAATGTCGGAAGTCGGGAGAGAAGGAAAAAACGGGGCATGGTGCTGCACACCGGTAATCCCCGCACCCTGAGAGGCTGAGACAGGAGAATCCCAAGATCAAGTCCCACCTTGGAAATTAACCAACTTAGAACTAATCACAAAATCTAAAAATTGAAAAAGGGCTTGATATGTGGTTCTGTCCAAAGGCCTGGGCTCAGTTCCTTACATCGTCTCTCCCCCTCCCCACAATGGGCAGCTTCAGTAGAACAATGTCAGAAGCAAATGGGACCAGGCTGTGATTTGAAAAATATAAGACTACAGTTGTGGACCCTGAGCTGATCACTGTAGTGGTTTTGAAATGCAGTAAGTAAAATTTTTGATTTTTAAAAATTTTTCATGTTGTATAAAGATAGCACAACTTAAGTAACACTAGAATTTGAGGCATCACCTGGTAGAATCTGGTCAGTTCACCCTGAAGAACAGAAGCTCCAGGAAATGATTTGCTAGTTAGTGTAGAACATCTGGTAGAGTCATCGCCATAGTGCTTCCTCCCAAATGTCTCCTCCTCTGTTTCAAGTTCATTTCTCTACTGCATATTAGTAAAGATTTCTCTTGCCATTCTATTTTTTTAAATTTATTTTTATTTTTTGGTACCAGGGATCGAACTTAAAACCTCATGCTTGCCAGGCAGGCGCTTACACCACCACTGAGCTAAATTCCCGGCCCCATCTCTTGCCGTTTAAATAACGATTCTCTGTAAATAGGAAATCTGTTTAAGTACAACAAATATTCAGAATCATAAAATGCAATTGAGATGAGGATGAGTGGGAAATAACTTAGTTATTTTTCTCACTGCTAAGACAAAGTACCCTACACTCAAAGTTAGAGGAGGGAAATTTATTTAGCTCGCAGTCTGTAGAGGATTCGGGTCATAGTTGACTGACTCCAGGGCAGGGTGACGTGGCAGGGGCATCACAGAAGAACAGTCCATGGCAGTAGAAGGCAGCAAAGCACCCAAGTGGCAAGCAGCACCCCCTTTCTGACCCTTATATTCTGCTACATGGTCTTGGTGCAGGAAGACCCAGGGCGGCCTCCTCATTTCCACTCCCCAAACCACGCCAAACCAAACAGCGGACCCCAGCCTCGCACCCTGCATGCAGCCACTTCTGACAAGCTCCATGCATGACCACATGGGGCTTTGGGAGGACATCTGGACACAGACTATTACAATAACCTATGGTTTTGAGCTTAATTTTGAGAGCAAGGTGATTGATTCATGGTGCTGCCCCTGATCGGACATCTCAGCATTGCAAGGATCTTTCCCCTCATAATGAAAATCTTTATATCACTTGTGTGTGCCATTTATATTAGATCTTCACCATAAAGGTGGGGATTGGCACAGCATTAAAACGTTTGCTTCTAATATAATTTGTTAATATTTTTTCAAAAGCTAGAGATTTATGAGCTTGAATCCTTCTGGTTTCATCAAAACAATACCAAGTTATTTTACTTTTTTAAAATCCACCTGGTATCAGTGGGTCAAAGTGTCATCTACTCTTCCAAATAACTGAGAGTGCAGCAGTTGTCAAATAATTTAGTACATTTCTTTAAAAACAAAAAAAGACCCCTCCAAAGGTACCAGGGGACTAGTGAAGATGTCAGATACGTGCACATGACACTCGCATAGGCACGCACAGCACACACACGCACAAATGTGATGTTAGCATCCACACCTGCCATGCATGGGACTGAGATCGGAGCAGGTGGGGTGCCCACAGCCAGAACAGCTGAGGGCCTTGTTCTTCTGGGTTCAGGTCCTGGCTCTGCCGATACTGGGCAGTGCTGCTCTGGTCTCTCTGCTTCTGTTTCCTTGTTGTAAAAGAGTGCAGTGGCAGTCCCCACCAGCCAGGATTTGAGAAGCGGGTGATAGGTGAAGATGCGTATCTCACCCAGAAGAATGTATGCCCTGTAGTAAACTGGAACCTTAACTGCTCTTACCGTGATGTGCTCTGCAATTTCCTACTGTGAATTCTGTGGTGGATTTCAGACTTCACAACTAAAGAGCACCTCCTTTAGGGATGTCTGTCCTGATGAATTTCCAAAGGTTCAGATAAATATCTATATTCTGGTGCTTCGGAAAACTTTTTAAGCCTTCTCAAGTCTTTCTTCTTTCTTTCTTTTATGTTTGGAACAGCTCCACATAAGCATGTGTCTAAGGCTAGTTGAAAATCTCAAAATTGAATAACAGAATAGAAAACTGGCTCCCCAAAGTCATCTTTAAAATGTTTTCAACTGCCTGTATTGTATATTTTGGGCTGAGGAATGAGAGACTCATGTTGTTTAAATGAGTTCTTTTTCTCAGAAATGGTAAACCATTTTCAGCAGTCGCACTATAAATTAAAGGTGTTTTTTTTTAAGATTATTTTGTTCCTTCATAACAGAACTTCATTTCATGTTTATTTGAGCAGCAGTGTTTTCTCTCTGGCTTATGCTTAATAGTTGCCAAACTTGCTTAGGCGAAGAGAAGAAATGTGAACCATTATTTACAGCAGCTCCATGATGATAAACTGCATAAAAGCAGAGTCAGTCTACTGTGCAGCAGAGCTACTCGTATGCTGCCTTTCTCCTCCGTGCTTTCTAAGCAGTTTGAGGGGGGCTCTGCGCCTGATGCTCCCCCCACGCAGGCAGTGGGGACGGCCACAGAGCCGCTGGTCTGGACCGCAGGGTGACCCCGTGCTGTCTCCTGTCAGGCCCTCATGACGTTCTTCAACAAAGTGATTGCCAACGAGTCCAAGAACCGCATGAGCGTGTGGAACATCTCCACCGTGATGGCGCCGAACCTCTTCTTCAGCAGAGGCAGGCACTCGGACCGCGAGCAGCTGCTGCTGGCCAACACCGCGGCCCACGTCCTCCGCCTGATGCTGAAGTACCAGAAGATCCTGTGGAAGGTGGGTGGCCGTGTGGCGGCTCTCGGGGTCCCCTGGAAGCCCACCAGCACCGGGAGCGTGAAGGAAGTTCTCTTAGCAGGTGGAAACCCGAGGCCAGGGCCCTGGTGGCCTGGGATCCAGGTGGCGCAGGTGCCTGTGATCTCCTCCTGTAGCAGCCTCCACTCAGCAGGTTCTTCTTCTCCAGTCAGCCAAGCACAGAGGAAAAAGGTCCTCAGAAGTATTTTGTCTGACATGAACACGTACAAGCCTCTTTCTCCACCGTTATTGTCTAATCAGTACAGCCTCACTGCTCCCTCAGCAGTCACACTGTAGTGGGCATAGTGGGTGCTGCAGTGGGCATTGTGGGTGCTGAGGTGGACATTGTAGGTACTGTGGTGGGCATTGTGGATGCTGAGGTGGACATTGTGGGTACTGCAGTGGGCATTGTGGGCACTAGGGTGGGTACTGTGGGTGCTGTGGTGGGTACTGTGGGTGCTGTGGTAGGTACTGTGGGTGCTACGGCAGGTATTGTGGGTACTGTGGTGGGTATTGTAGGTACTGCGGTGGGTATTGTGGATGCTGCAGTGGACATTGTGGGCACTGCGGTGGGTACTGTGGGCACTGCGGTGGATATTGTGGGTACTGCAGTGGGTACTATTGGTGCTGAGATGGGTACTGTGGGTGCTGCAGTGGGCATTGTGGGCACTGTTGTGGGTATTGTGGGTACTGCGGTGGGTATTGTGGATGCTGCAGTGGGTCCTGTGGATGCTGCAGTGGGTATTGTGAGTCACCAGGAAGGATTTGGAGTCCAGGCAGGATGTATGTGGCTCATGTCCAAACACTGCCATTTTGTTGTCAGGAACTTGGGCACCCTGTAAGCCAAGCCCACTTGGGTACCGTGACATGGTGGGACATTTGTTAGGAGCCCTTCTTTAACATGCTTTCCCCATTAAGCGGAAACCCGCACAGAGTTGTCCGAGCTTGATAACGATAAATCCCCCTACCTCAGGGCGCTGGGTGGCAGGAGAGGTGAGCGCACGGCAGACTCCACCTTCCAAGGAGGCCTCAGCGGGTTTTCCGTGCACTCAGGCTGCTTTTCTCCTCCAGGTTCCGTCTTTCCTGATCACCCAAGTCCGCAGGATGAATGAGGCCGCAATGTTGCTGAAGAAGCAGCTCCCGAGCGTAAAGAAGCTTCTCAGGAGGAAGACCATGGAGCGGGAGGTGAGTGCGGAGGCTGCCTAGCCTGCCTGGCTTCCTTCCTCTGGGGAGGCCACTCGAAGTTTAAAACCAAGTGAACTTGGTCCATCCTGCGCCCTTTAGCACCTTGAAAGGCGTGTCCATCACAGGGCTTCCTGTGTTGCTGAGTTCTGTGCCTTTGGGTTCCAGTGCTTAGGACAATGACCTCATGAAGGTTGTAGGAGTCTGAGAAGGACTCAGTGAGACAGCTAAGAGAGTTTCCACAAAAGCTAAAAGTCAGCACTTGAGTGCTTGCGAGCTAGGCTTTAGGGCAATCTAGTTCTAGGTGTGTCAAATGCATAGGGAGAGAATTCTTTACTCCTTTTGTGATAGAAGATAGTAACCCTGCCATTGGTGAAAATTCACTGCACTCCGAAGAACCTTTACTTTGGTGCGGGTATTCATATGCGGGTGGATGAAAGTGGGTTTTAGAAAAGCCAGATTTAGTACTTTCATACTCTGAACACCAAGCACTGACTATACCCAGTCTCAAGGACAGGGTGGATACGTACTTGAAGCTCATCTCCGTTTATGAGAACTGAAGGCTGACTTGGGGGACAGATGTGGCCGAGGTGCCACAGGCTGGGGGAGCACAGGGCAGCTGTGCAGATGCAGTTCGGGCCCCATCCTCCGGGGTCCTGGTGTGGAGAGCCGTGGGTTACTGCTTGGAAAAGTGACATTTGAGCTACACATCTTTTTTTTTTTTTTTTTTTTTTTTTTTTTTTTTTTTTTAATTTAAGGAGAAAAAGAAAAAAAAAACAGAAAAAGTGTACAAGTTATACAGAATTTCAGAAAAAAAAATAAACAGTAGAAAATCACTAGTTAATGGATTACATATTGTCATCTTAGAAATATTTGTTCAAGTTACAAATTAAAGCTTATATAGTGGACATTCAAACAGTGAGACCAAACAGTTCTGTTCAATGATCCAACAAAACTCCATAATATCATTGTCTATCTTATACACTTAAATATACATGCAGTTATATCATTTAGAGCACTTTCTTTTCCTCTCTTTTGTACAATGACTATTACACATTTTGGGTTTTATTGCTCCCACAGTTCTTATTACTTTTTTTGGAAGAGAGTAAAACCAAATGTGACATAACAGAACAGAGTCAGTCAAATCAAAAGGGTGGACATAATAGATAATGTAAAAACATAATACAAGGTGATCAACAATGGTTACCATAATGCCTCCCACTATCTCTAATAGAATTGCCTATATGATCAGTTATAATAAAATTGAACAAAACAGTAAAGAACGAAACCAATAAAACCGAAACATTGGAGACATTACAGGTCTTCAAAAGTAGATAATAGTCAACCAGAATGGGCGTCACAATGAATCCCACTATCTTCACAGCTGTTGCCTAAATTTTCGAACCTGGTACTATCAAGCAAAACAGAATAGAGGAACATCAGTCAAAACAAGATGGTGAGAGCAATACAGGGCTTCAAATCAAGTTAATAGTAAATCAAAGTGGGTTACTATAATATATCCTACTATTTTTTATTTATTTTTCCCTTAATTAAAAGGATAAAAATAAAAAAGTAAATATTAAAATGGAGATTGAAATAAAAGAGGGCATAACAACAAAACAGTGCAGACCAAAACATAACCGTTTAAGCAAAATAGTGTTTCACCACAAGATAATCCCGACATAAAAGTAGTTACCATATTGTCTCTTTCCTTGAAATATTTGAGTATAAATTCGTATACTGTAGCATCAAATATATCAAAACAATGTAAAACCATTCAAGAGAATGACAGTATTACAGGGTATTTAGAATCAACTAACAGAAAATGAACAATGGTTTCTGTATAATCTCCTTGTCTATAAAACTTTTTGTTTAAACTATCACATATAATAAATTCCAATAGGATACAACATGCTAAGACCAATGGAGACAGAAGAGCAAAAGCTTGATGAGACTTCATAACAAGATGATACTAAATCAGCATTACCTATTATGACGTCATTTTCTCCAAAATAGCTGTTCCTATCATCCAATCTTCTCTGCCTCATTTCTGTTGAGCTCTTTTTCTGTCATTAGTTATCAGTTTGTCTTCTTCATTTTGTTTTCTGCTCCATTCATTGTGGCCTCTCTGCCACTATTTCTGGATTCTTCTTATTTTTCTTTTTTCAAATATCCTGCAGTATTCTCTGTAGAGTTGAACTGGTAGTTGCATATTCCCCTAGTTCCTCTTTATCTTAGAAGCACCTTGTTTTTCCATCAATTTCCAGGGATAGCTGTGCAGGATATATCAATCTTGGCTGGATGTTATTATCTTTCAAAGCTTGAATTATTTCCCCCCACGCTTTTCATGATTTGATGGTTTGTGCCGAGAAGTCTGCTGTAATTTTGATGGGTGTTCCCTTGTAAGTGATCTGTTTCTTGTCTCTGACAGCTTTTAATATTCTGTTCTTATATTGGATTTCTGGAATTTTGATTATTATATGCCTGGGTGTAGCTCTGTTTGGGTTGTAGGTGGCTGGGGTCCTGAATGCTTCATACATCTGAGTATCTTTACCTTTTGCTAATTTAGGAAAATTCTCCTGGATTATTTCTTCAAGTAGCTTTTGTAGTTCATTTGTTTGTGTCCCTACCTCTTCTTTTATGTTCTTAATTCTTAAGTTATAGATCCTCATCATCTTCTAGTCTTTGTATTATTGCTGTTTGTTTCTTTGTTATTTTTAAGAAGTTTTTCATTTCATGCTCCCACATTACAAATCTGGCCTCCAGTTCAGATAATCTATCCTTAGTTTCTTTCAAGCTGTTATGCTAGCTTTCGATAGAGTTTTTAGTTTCCTGGTAATCTCTTTGAACCTGCTTCACGTATTCTATGCTTTCTCTATTTTCTCCATCAAACAATTCTCCCCTCTTTTTCTGTTCTTCCATTCCACCATCTGTTTTTTCTTGGGTGGTGCTTAGCATTTCTCTAACTATTCTGCTTATGCTAGCTTCAGGTCATTAATAACTTCATTCCTGAACTCATCTATGAGGCTCTGGAGATAGCGCTTTATGTCTATTGGTACGGTGTCTGCTATTGCCTGTTTCTCAGAATTGGGGGCTGAGGGGCCTTTCTTGTTGCTCCCTCTTCCCATATTCTTTATTCCTTATATATGCAAGCGTATATAGGAGGCCCAGCTTCCTTCCCTGTTGGCCACAGTCTGATTGAATTGCGCCGGCTAGGTGTTCCCACCCACTGCAGCGCACCAGGGAGTTAAGAACTGGGCAGCCTATGCGGGGCCCGCCCCTCCAGGTCACCTTCAGGCGCTGGGACCTGGGCTGTGCTAGCTACTGGGTCTCAGCCAGCAGCATCATGTAAGCTAGGCACTGCTCACCAATCCCACTTGAGAGGGGGATATGTGACCGAAGTCACTACAGCACTCTGTTCTGGCCAGTCTGCCCGGTCCCAGAATGTCCTCTGTTGGAGCCTCCTAGATTGTGGAAGAGTCCCAGTTTCTCTCACTCACCGCAGGTCGATGCACTGCTCCCCACCCATTCTGCTGTCAACTCCCTTCACCGATTCCCGTTCTCAGACCTTTCGCACTTCTCTCTCCCTGACAAGCCAATTCAGACACAGCCGCGGCGGCAGGAAACCCAAATCTTGGTTTCCAATGGCGTGGGCTCCAGCTTCCATGCTGAGGCTTTATCTGTTCCTGTTATAGCACCAGGATTGCATTCCCAGTTGGTTTCTCTCAACCCCAGTTCGTTCTTGGGTCAGCAGGGCATATCTCCTCTCTTGCTTAGGATTCCTCACTCCGCACCATTCCTGGATTCTAAGCTGCGTCTTTCAGAGAGCCTCCGTAGCTGCTGCTATCTGTCCGCCATGTTCTCCCAGAAGTCGAGCTACACATCTTTGTAGTGAGGGAGAAAGGAGGGGACCGTCATCCAGAGAAGGGGATGGTGACCGCCAAGGCAGAGGGGCAGAGGGCGTCTGCTACCTGACTTCTCATGGTCACCATCGGTAGCTGTGCCCTTTATTCATTATGCAAAGTGCTTCATACCAAGAACCAACACGTTCACTAGGAAAAAGGTATTCTAATTTAGAAAAGTTCTTCACAATATAAAAGTCACTAAGGTAAGCCATTAAAATGTATGCCTCCATGGTTTTGAGAGAGGCACCATGCAGTACCCTAAAATGGCTCATCTGATGGATGTTTAGGGTTCATGCTGTCTGGACTCGCTCAGTGACACTCTCCAAACTGGCCTCTAGTAGTTCCAGTGTGTCTGGTTATGTTTTCTTACCTTTTTGACAAATTAACTTTATGATGAAAAGCGGATGCTTTGCTTATTACAGTGGCCACCTGGAAATCAGGCTTCCCCTCTCTGGAGTGCTCTGCCACTGGTCACTGTACCTCACCCGTCAGCAGCTTCGGGGCTGAACCGCGTCAGTGGTGTCTGTATTCTTGGGTGTGACCACTGAGGTCTGCTCTGCCCGCTTACTGACAGGGCAAGTGACCACACAGCCCTGTCCCCCAGTGCCTGGAACCAGAGCCTCTGCCATCCTTGGGGATGAGCTCTGGGTGCGTGCTGGGCCCAGCGGCCCAGGGCTCTGCGCCTCCTGCTCGCCAGAGGCTGGAAGGCAGGCGGAAGCGTTAAGTTCTCGCTCTTTCAGGTCTTTTCTGTGCTCAACCGTGATTCTGGGAAACCCATCCCAAGCTTTTCAAAGCCTAGCACTCCGTGCCCCTCAGCCTCGGGCCTTGTCTCCCAGCTGCCCCAGCCAAGCCACCCCAGCAGGCAGTCGGGGCCCTGGGAGCAGAGGGGCTGGAAGCGGAGAGAAATGCAGCAAAGCCTCGCTGTCGCAGCGGGTTTCGCCAGGCCTCCCTTCCTCCCTCACTGAAGAAGCTGACAGTGACAGTTTTTGCCCTTGCTTTTGTGAAGGGACCGACTTTCACTTTCTCCCCCTCTACCATTTCCATCTGGGAAGCTGTAATGACACCGGTGGTGTGTGTGTGGCACAGACAGAGATCGGGTTGCCAGTCCTGGGAGCCGGGCAGGCTCGAGCATTCTCCGAGCCTCCGTGTTCTGCCTTACAAATGGAAAGAAAAGTCCCGACCCTAGTGTCGCCAAGCTGCTCTGGGTCAGGCTCACATAATGCAATGGGTGAGAGCATCTGCCTCTGTGATGTGCTGGCTGTAAATGGAGCCAAGATGGGACACAGAGGTTACGAGCGCCACTGGGAGCTGATGCATAATAATGGTCTTCCTGTGTCTTAATTCTTCATTTTGTATTTTATATACGAAGTCATAAATTTTAAAACCTGCAAAGACCACAGAATAGAAATTAGCCACCCTGGTTTCCACTCTTTGAAAGCAGGCGCATGTGACACAGGATGTGCAGAGGTGCCTCCCTCCGTGGAGGTCTGTGTGTGTAGGTCCCACTGTGGCTGAAAACTGTACACAGAAAAAAAGATTCCATCTGTACTGAACCTGTGCAAACGTTTTCTCCTGCCATCATTCCCTAAAATATACACTGCAATGTTCCAGTAGCATTCACGTTATAGTAAGGTTCATATATAATCTAGAAATGATGTACTGTTTTCCAGAGGATGTGCAAAGGTTATATGCAAATACGATGTCATTTTGCATGAGGGAACTGAGCCTCTGTGGGTTTGCTACCGGGGGAGCTTTGGAACACATCCCCGGTGTATCTCTAGGAACCACTGAGTGCATCCTTCCCCATTTTACACAGGAAGCACTGCCCTGTATCTCGCCTTCCTGAATGAAATCATAGCAGTGGTTCTTTATCAATCCACAAAACAGGCTCCTTTGTACTTTGGCAACATTTCTACAGGCACACAGTAATTGGTTTAATTAACTCCGGACTGCGGAACAGGTAGACGGTCTCCTGTTCTGCCACTACAGTATCTGCTTCAGCAAACAGACATATGTGTGTGTCACTTTTCACAGTGAAATCCATTTGTAGGATAAGCTTGTAGATGTGGGATTGTGGAGTCAAAGTGAATGCATACATCTTATAATTTATGTTCTGAAGATTTTTCATGAAGGCTTATGCAATTAGCTTTGCTTTCCCAACATGAACCCTAAACACAAAACATGCTTTCTTTAGGTTGCAAGCCCCAAGGCCTCAAAGGTACTGCAAAAGTCGCCTTCCGCAAGAAGAATGGTAAGCAAACCACTCCCTCTGCCGCTGAGCAGTGGCTCCTTGTTACATAGGGAGGGAGGGATTCACTAGCACACATTCAGAGTTAACTGAGCCACGGCACGCGGCCAGCGTCTGCCCTCCCAGCTTAGTACTGTAAGTCTTGACCACAGAGCAGTGTTCCAGGGCTTGGCTAACGCTTCTGAGTGCATGGTCAGGCATCCTGGAGACAGTGTGTCAGCCACCTGCAGGAGCAGGGGAGGTGGAATTGCCATCCTCCTAGCCCAGGAAGGTAAGGGTAAGGCTTATCTTACCGAGGCGTCCGGGGAGCCTTGAGGATGTGTTCCAGGAGTGCAGTCCAGGCTCTGCCCCCACCCACGTCCAAATCCCTCAGTCCACTCCCTCAATCCACTTCCTGGCTCGCCCTCTACATTCTTACTCGGAATGTTAGAGGAACACTGGAGAGCTGACCCTTTAAGCTGACATTAAAGATGTGTTGGTTTAATCTCCTAGAGCAGCCATAAAACGTTACCACAAGCAGGGTGGCTGAAGGCAGTAGGAATACCTGCCCTGCGTGGCTGGGTGTGTCCACGAACCCAGAACAGAGCTCGGGTGCCCACAAAGAGTCCCATGGGGGGCCATCCCATCGCCCACTGAAGAGTGGCAGTGTTCTGGCAGCTGTGTTTCCCCCTGATCCCTAAAGCTTTCTCTCTCTCTTTTTTTTTTTTTTTTTTTGTACTGTGGATTGAACTCACGACTGCGAGTTTGCAAGGCAGACACTAAGACCACTGAGCTAAATCCCCAGCCCCTGATCCCTAAAGCTTTCAAAAGATGTTCTTCTTAAAATTTATTTAAGCATTGTGATTAAAGCGGGCTTATTCATGGCATTGTTTCCTAAAGACGTAAACTGGGTGTGGGGCATGCCTGTAATCCCACGGCCTGAGAGGCTGAGGCAGGAGGAATGCTGGGAGTTCAAAGCCAGCCTGGGCTATAAAGTGAGCTCAAGGCCTAGCCTGAAAGGCATAGAGACCTTGACTCAAAGACAAAAATAAAATAAAATAAAATAAAATAAAATAAAATAAAATAAAGGCATTCGATTTTTATCCCAGCCCAGTTTTATAGCTCTCTGATTGAAAGCTTCCAGGGTAGTGCAGTAAACGCCCTGGGCTGACTTCAGTCACTGTCAGTCTCCTGGTGGGAAGGAAGGCAGTGCGCCGGGGGTTAAATGCCAGTGCTGTGGATGCCTTGTCCTGATTCCCGTGAGCTGACCTCATGCAGCCCACGCAGGCTCAGTGAGCTGCGATCACACTCGCCTGACCGCATGCCCTGATTTTTCCTCCCTGTTGTCCGCAGTCCGATGTGCCGGAGGGAGTCATACGGGTCCACGCCCCACTGTTCTCCAAGGTGTCCATGGCCATTCAGCTGAACAGTCACACCAGAGCCAGGGACATACTGGCCAAGTTCCAGGTCGAGAACAGGTGAGTGCAGGCAAGCGAAGGTCACTGCCCACAGAGGTACACTTCCATCAGCCAATCCCCACCCACGCTCTCCAAAGGCTGCCTCCTGATAAAATAGATTTGTTACTTTGGGGACCTGCCAGTAGCCGACAAGGCTGAAAGATAAATTAGACAACGGAACTGTCGGTAACAAAAGCTATTCTTTAAAGGACTGTCTGCAGATGGGCTTCCTCCTAGGTGTCAACTTGGTAGCTTCATTTACTCCATCATGAGTTTTACAATGAAAAATACGACCAGTTAGCTTTGTGGTTATCTTGGTAGGTTTTTTCAGGAGTAGTGTTAATTCAGGTTCCTTTGTGGATACTGTAGCTGTAATTTTCCTTAAAATATACTGTGAATAGTCCTTAGGATCAGAAGTGCAATTGTTTATGCACGCCTGCCTTAAATAACAATAAAAGACATACATCACAGTATATTTTTTTGACTAGAAATGCTTATCCAAGGATAAATATTTGCCCTGGGGATTTCAGTGTTGAAAAATGTTCATTAAACTTATCAGTCTGAAAGTAGGTAGAGTTTGAGGAAATTTAGTAAAACTCATGGATATCCTTAAAAAGCTTCCAGTCATTTTTTTAAAAAGTAACCTTATTGACCAAAAGGAGCCCAGCTACAAAGGGATGCATATGTATGCTTCCTTTATACAGTGCTCATATAACAGTTTTAAAATGACAGAAGTTTATGAATGGAGAAAAAGCGGTGTTTGCCAGAGGTTGAGAAGGAACAATGGAACGGTTGTAGGGGGAACCAGGCTTAGTTACAGAAGGGCAGGATGCAGGGTGTGCGTGGCACTGGAGCTGTGGACCCCTGGAATACCATGTAAACTTGGTGCCCACCCCACGGGGTAAAAGTCTGACTGGGAGACTGGGATGTGACGGGTCAGTCTGACCGGTGTCAACGACCTGACCTGACTTCATACTGTGGGTTTGCTGCCAGGTGCCATTGGTGAACCCTGGGCACAGAGCACAAAGAACCTTTCTGCACCATTAAGATGATTTCAGTAACAGTTTCAGGGTTTAAATGAATTGATTCATCATGTAAAACACTAGAAGCCAGAGTGAGGTTTTGGGTTAGTGAATTCCAGAAAGTTCTTTCTTTAGCTATGGGAATCAGCCACCTGGGGTACTCACTTTGCAAATTCCTGGGATCCTGTGTTTGAGATCTGTGTGCTTTGTGTATGTAAATGTATGCAGATGTATGTGAATATATTTGCATTTAAAGGGAAAGGAAGATTAGCCAGTGGCAACAGGAGCCCAAACCTGAGCAGCTACTCCTCTCTGCTACTGGCCACACTCAGTGAAATACTGCAGAGGTGCAGAGAGGCAGTCACTCAAGGGCTGGAAAACCATTCACGGGTCTGGGGGTCCAGTGCAGCCCTGACTTCATATATTACCAAGCTAAAGTAATCTCAAATAGGCCTTCTGTAGAAAGAAAAGACTTCTAATAAGAACCAATTAGAACCATTGACCACTTCCTCAAATCCTCTGAAGCAGCTTCTTCACGAGAACCTGCCGAGGGGTCCCTTCTCTGGTTAAACCGCTGGCTTGTCTCAGTTTAAACACTCACCTGACTTGACAGAGCCTGGTTTCTGACTGTCGACCCCTGGACCTTGGTCTAAGTCACAGAGGTGGGGAGAAACCCCTCCCTACCAGGTCCTGCCTCTTGGGCCTAACCCAGCACAAGCAGAGGAGAGCACTGGAGGCTGGAAAGAAGCCTCTGGAACAGGACCACAAGGTTTCAGAAGCTTCCTAGCTGCCTCCGAGCTTCGTATCCGGCACACATGAAAAGAGGCTCCAAGGAATGCCTGTGCCCCCGGAAAGGTCTAGCCTGGGCACAGAGAACCGGCACCTCGGCTCACACACGGAGAAAAGAGACTGCACACCACCTCAGTGTCACTGGGGCCCCCAAAAGATCCAGGAGAGGATCTACTCCCAGTCCTGGTGGCATCCCCAGGCAGCTGAGCCATGACACCCCCTAGCAGGCACCACACTGGAAAAGGCCCAGAGCAAGGTGCACAGGCAGGTGATGAGGGTGACCATAAAATACAGAGACTTTCACTTTTTAAAAATTCACTGCAGTAAAAGAGCACTGTGATTTACCCTCAAAACTACACCCCCTCCAACACACTCATCCTATTCTTTTTGGCGCCTTCTGAAGCAGTTCTGGAGCCCTCTCTGCTGAGCATCTTTAGTTCCGCTGTCTTTGCCGCCTTGATGTTTTGAATCAACTCCTGGGCTTCCTTTCCCTGGTCATTCTGACTTTGGGGAGGAGCCTCTAGTCACACAGGGCCAGATTCCGCAACCAAGTTTTGGCTTCACCTTTTCTTCATGGCCTCAGCAGCTGCATTTTCCTGAGTGTGAGCGGTAGTGACAATGTCTCTTCTCCTGTGATTGTTGTTTTCATCTTACTTAAATACCCACTTATGTTTCTTGTGCAGTCCTGGCTCTGCTCCCTCCCTCCGTGTCAGCAAGGGCCATGGGAAGCTGGGCGCCCAGCCCCACCCTATCCTCCAGGTGGACCGGGGCAGGTGGAAGCAAAGCTAATCAGCATCCAGTTCCAGTGGACCCCACTGTCACCCGCCAGGCCATGGGGAGTGGAGTCTTCACAGGCCCTGGTGGAGGACATGGCAGGCGTGGGAAAAGCTAGCACCCTGCTTGGGTTCCTTCCCTTCCGTGTCCCTGGGTTTGGTGAGAAGCTGAGCCAGCACCCTAGCAGTGTGACCGGGCCTCTGCTCCCCCTCACACATCCCTACAGAGCCTGACAGACAGTGACTGGTGCCCCCCACTGCATGTACCAAGGCAGTGCCATCCGGGGTGCAGCGAGCAGCTGAACATGCCTGCCACCTAGCTTTCTGCTACCTGAAAAATGGAGACTAAATAAGACCTGGAGTCTCATGGTGTCACACCGAGAATGTCCCCAGTACAACAGCAGATAATTCATCCCAGGCAGAGCATACAACATGCAGGAGAAAACACACCAACAGATGCCAGCATTGACTGGATTGTGTCATCATTGCCTGGCAAACCTTTACACCAGCTGTCGGAATTTAACACGCTAACATGCCATTAAGAGTTCTTTTGAAACAAAATGAAAAATAGAAAATGTACTCAGGTGTGGTGGTGCAACCTGTAATTCTAGCGCTCTGGAAGGCTGAGGCAGGAATGCTAAAAGCCCTAGTCTACTTGGGAAACTCAGCAAGACTGTTTCAAAATAAAGGAGGATTGGAGATTTTTAAATCATAAGGGCCTTGGATTTTTTTTTTTAAAGCAGAAAAATAAATGTTATAAAAGAGAATCACATGAAAATTATAGAACTGAAAAATACAATAACTGAAATTTTTTTAAACTTGCCTAATGGTCTCAATAGTACAGTGAAGCCAACAGGCAGGAATTAGCAATGCAGAGGCATCCAGAAAGTGCATTTGTTTTCAACAACACAGAGAGAAAAGTGTCTGGAGAAAAGACATGAGCACTGCCCCGGGCAGCAGGACTGTGATGAGAGAGTGAAGATTCCTCTCTCAGGCTCCCAGCGGGAGAGGACGGCGCAGGACTGAAAAGGAGTTGAGTAATAAGGCTTTGACTGGAAGTTTCTTCAGTTTAACAAAAGACATGCATCTACACATCCAAGGGGCTCCATGCACCGAAATGGGTGAACGAAGAAATCCATGGCAAAAAATACTGTTAAATCTGTAAAAATTAAAGGCAAAGCGTTAGACACCTTGAAAGCAGCCAGGGAGAAGGGATGTGTTTCTCACAGGGAGACGCCAAGGCGCATTGCAGTGAGTTTCTGTCTGGAAGCACAAAACCAGAACAATGCAACATAATGGTTTTCAAGGGCTGAAAGAAAAGAACCATCAGCCATGAATTCTGTGTTCAGCAAAGTGTCCTTCGAGAAATGAAGACCTTCTTGGTTGGAGGAAAACTTACCCCTACTTAATGGCCAAGGAGTTTTCTAAACATGAAAGGATTAGGGTGAAACAGGCTTGCAACATCAGAACAAAGAAAGACAGAGCCAAACAGCATAAAATACGCCACTTCTCGTGCATTTCTTAAACCGTCTTTGATGACAGAAGCAGACGTGCCCCTCCGTGCTCAGGGCATGTGGGAGATGAACTTAGCTATATCTTTATACAGTGGCGAGGGTCTCACCCCTTGAATGGTCCATGCAATGACCAAGGAGCACAATAGGTAAAAAGGAAAAAATAATTTTACAGTTGAAACACCTGACCTGTGCCAGGCAATCATACTAAGAGCCCTATGTATGGTGTCAGAGAGGCCCCTTGCAAAGATGGGGTGACACTGGCCCTATTTCTTCCTCCCGAGAACACGTAACTCCCCTCTAAATAGGAGGAAGACATCAGGCAAGTCTCAGGTGAGGAGTAAGCTACCAAATACCTGGACATTGCACCTGGAAACTGTCAAGGGTAGCTGTGAGAAACCCAGGTAAGAAACTGCGAAACTGTGTGAGCCAAGAGCAGGCCAGAGATGTGACCCTCCGTGTCCCGACCTGGAAGGTGCAGAGCAGCAGCGATGGCTCCTGTTCCGCAGCCCACACACTGGAGGCTGAACCTGAAGTCGGAACCGGGTGGAAGCACGGCTGTTCCTTCACCCAGAAGTTCTGAGGGTGACTCTCCTGCGACTCTCTCAAGTGGATCAGGATGCATCCTCTAACAGTCTTTAACTCATTGCATCTGCAGATACCGGATTGCCAAATAAAAAGGTTATAGGGGCCCTGGCCAAGATTCCCAACCGCCTGTATGAGGGGTAGGCACAAGGGTGAAATAGGGAACAGAGATAAATTTAGTAATGCATGAAGGGGCTGGGAGGTCAGGGCCCAGGGCTGCAGACAAAGCCCCTCTGGCAGCCACGCGTACGGGGCATACGGTGACAGGAGGGGCTGTAAAAGATTCAAGGCCACCAGAAGGCTCAGAGGTCAGTGATTCAGCGGGCGCCCCGTAACCCTGG